GGTTAGGCCAGGAAGACTAAAGTTGCCAGTGGGCAGGTGGCCTACCTGTTTCAGCAGAGTGGATCCTAGCATGGAGAGGAAGAGGGCCTATGCTTTGGGCCAGGGAAAAGATTATGAAGGCCAGGTCAGTCCAGGAGGACAGAGTCTCATAGTTAGGTCTGTGAAAACGTGTCTGACACTTGCCTTACTTACAGAGGTCGGCACTGAATACAATGGCACGATGTCAGTCTTCTGGAATACATGAAAGTGAGTCCTGAACTGCACGACTCAGACCCAAGTGAAGGTAAGACCATGGATAAGCTCTAAAATTAATGTTAATGACTAATACTTAAATTTTCTCAAAAGAGACTAAGTATTCAATATAAGCTGTATGTCCCTTTTCAGGAGTAATGAATAGCTTTTTCTATCATTAAATGGAGATTTGGACTACATGTCCAAAATCCACCTGTATCTTTTTTTTTTAAGATTTTATATATTTATTTTTGGAAAGAGGAGAGGGGAGAGAAACATCAATGTGTGGTTGCCTCTCCTGGCTCCCTACTGGGGACCTGGGCTGCAACCCAGGCATGTGCCCTGACTGGGAATCAAACCGGTGCCCGTTGGTTTGCAGGCCAGCACTCAATCCACTGAGCCACACCAGCCAGGGCTATATCTTACTCTTTATAAATTTTTAGTAAGAAACATCCTTAAAATCATCATCTATGTTTTACCCTCTTTCAAGGAGAGGGGCTGTAACATAAATATCTTTGTATCCACATGAACCCACACAAAGTAGAAAAAGACTCAAAAAAGCTAAGTAATTAACATAAAGTCAGAAAAAAAACTATAAAACCCAGATTACTTGATCCCTGAGTCCAGTGATTTCTTAAGTGTTCTTTACCTTAAGTCCTCATCTGGGTTTATGAACGATTTTCTTTTTTTTAAACTACAAAAAATTCTGACTTCATCATAAATGGAGTCATTAAATGTCCCTTGCAACTCATCAGGGTTCCTTAATACATGCTTCATCAGCCCACATCACCAAGCCATTCTTAAAGCTTCTTGTGGTGCCTTTTCTTTCCATTAACAAGATATATGACCTTGCTCCAAACACAAGGTTACAAAAAATCCTTGCCTCATAAATTTCATGGAACTTTACTAGGTGGGAATATTTAATTATAAAAACTACTCTGTTTATTCACATAATATAGTATTTGACTGTATTCTTTGTATTGTTCTTTACTTGTATCATGTGTGACTTGCCAATTAATGGCTAACCTTTGCATAAAGAGATTCTGGATCTTCAATTTATTGGTGTCAACTACAGTGCCAAAGCTGCAGAAGTGCTTGACCTAAACTTGGAGGTTCCCACACAAATTTTAACAACAAAAGAATGTGCTACCTTATGAAATTTCAGGTGTCTTTCTTTGCTGGCAAGAAAATTCTTTTCCACATTAAGAGATAACCAGATTTTTTCCTCCTCTGCCTACCAATTCTCCCCAACACATACATACAATCACATACTTCAGGTCTGAGGCTAATCTCATTGCAAGCAAACCTTAACATTTTCAGCAATGGCTGGATGGCCTGGTAACCTTGGCAACAAGAAAGTGCAATTTACTCCTCTCAATAAGTTTTAAGCACTAGGAGGCCAAAGTTAAAGTTCCGCTGACCTTTGAAATACTCTGGGGTTAGAGATGCATAACCCCCATGCAGTTGAAAAGCCACATATAACGTTTGGCTCCCCCAAAACTTAAACTATTAATGGCTTGAAGTTGACTGGAAGCTTTACCAATAACATAAGTGGTCAAGTAACGCATACTGTGTGTGTTATACATATTAGATACTGTATTCTTACAGTAAAATATGCTAGAAACAAACTTAAAAAATGTAAGGAAAATACATTTACAGTACTTATTGGGAAAAAAAACCACCTGTGCATAAGTGCATCTGTACAGTTCAAACCTGTATTGTTCAATGGTCAACTGTATTTCCTCATTTTCCAAATTATTGGTTTGCTGTGAAGGAATAAATTGCTCAGGAAGCAAAGGTGGGGAAATGTTTGTTGGTCATCACTGGATTCTTACTGAAAATAGAGGTGAAATCTTCAGCAATCACTTCTCCAACTTCATACTTTCTGAGAGCACTCTTCTCAGCAATGTAGTGGGTTAATGACACTATTGATCAAATTATTTGAGGCCAGTTCTTTATTTTAGAGAGAGAAAACATAGTATTAGAAACTGCTTTGGCACAGGTGAAAAGTGGCTCTCATATAATTTGCCAGTTTTCATCAGGATCATTAATAACTCATTACCAAAATCTGCCTTCACTTGGTTACCAGAGTTGCCACCAATGCAAAATGAGTGGGGGGAATCTGAGCACACACAAAAATGTTCTTTATTTTTTAGATGTAATGCAAATAACCATATCTAATATTCTTGCAGAAAACAAAAAATGCAAAACATGCTCAAAAAAAGAATAATCAGGTTATACTTTTTGTAAGGCACCACCAAAACCCCTGAAATTAGAATCCATATTATATTTAAGTGTCTCACTAGCAGGTGGATAAGTATGTAAGAGAATAATTAATAAGGGTCTTGAGGTTTACAAAAGACATTTTTGTTTAGACGTCTTGGAGTACTACAAAAGTAATAAGCAGGATGTGTCTTTAAAAATCCATCCTAACCTTTCCCAGTGCACATCATTTGTTGCATAGTGGTGGCCGGATATGATTCAAGCCAAGACTGCAATTCCAAAATATATTAATGTCCTTTCCTTCTCATACTGTAAAGACCAACTGGCACATCCATACCCCGAAAAACTAATAATACACTTTAATTAAAAAAAAAAAAAAGAGAGAGGGACAGCAAATCACTTGCCTGCTTTTTAAAATTTATACTTAGGGACCTACTGCAAAAGTAACTTACTACACACCTGTTCATATAGAAACCTTTATTGAACCTGGTTATACGTGGGACTTGAACAGCTTAATTTTTCCACAGTTTACAGTTTTCAAATCCCACTCAAAATTATCACTTTTCTCCTTTAAAAAGTAGATAATCTCACCCTTTAAAAGAAGGGCTTTCTCAATTTTTCCTTTCATCTCCTCCTATTTTAAGTACTGGCTGATGTCCACAAATGACTATAGAATCAAAATATTGACAAGCAGGAAGTTTCTTTTACATGCTCCAAATTGCACCCAGAATCTAAAAATTAAGAAAAACAAATAATTTCTTAGACACTTGCTAAAGACAAAAGCAGAGAAGAACAAAAACAAAGCACAGGAAAAATTGTTCTAATATTACAAGTCTAATATTAAACTATATTGTGAGGAATCAGACTTAATGTTTGCTTTTTCAATTATTCAAAGTATGATATATAGTAATTTGTAATTTTATTGAGGCACAAGTTTGAACCATGCAGTGCAAAGCTGGTTTGCAGTAACTTAATTTACATCTCAATATGGCTTTTGATGCACTATCAAAGTGAATACACATTTGTGAGAGGAAAATGCCCCTTCTTCCCCCAAAATGAATGACTACCAATGCTTTAGTTGTACTTGTAAACTTGGGGTTTGCATAGTTCTAGTGACCCACCCTTTGAGACTATCAAGGCCCTACCACTTTTTCATTTTTCGTTCTATAATCATTGCCAAAATAGTTTATAATGAAGGTAGTAAGAAACACCTTTGAAAGAATTAATATATTAGTTAAAATACCAATGGTGAAGAATTACAACTTTGGATAGAAAGGGAGAAGAAACATTTTTAAGTAATTTTAATATAAAATGTTACAATACTGAAGAATGGAGTAAGTTGTAAATAGTAATTCCCTCTAACTGAAAACAAAGTCTGTGTTAAGAGCATCAGCATTTCTTTAAATAGGCAAATCTTACTCCATTAATCCCAAAATTGATTTGTGTATGTTAACTTTTCTTTCTCTGGCTCTCTTAAAAACACTGATTTTACCTGTTCTTCTCAGCTTTGGTCTAAATTAATGGCCAAGAGTCTGGCCAAATCCTCTGAGGCTTTCAAATAAATACAGAAAACCCCACAGTATCTATTAAATGATATATGTAAGTTTCAAAATGTCCGAAGAAAAACAGGAAGCTATTTTTCATGGTCGGAAACTGCCCTCATTTTTGTCTCAGGTCTCTAGCAGGCAAATGCCATGTTAAGGACATAGAGCATTCCTTAGCAAGCTACCTGTACCCATCTACCATGCTCCAAGAAGCAAAGCACCTTAGTTATCTTTCTTAGCATCCTCATGCCCCTCCACTGATAGTTGAGTAGTTAATTGGTGACTAGGAAAGAAAAATAGGATATTTTAAAATGTATTCCAGCCAGCCATGACTTAAAGTTGCATTCAATTTTGAACCCACAAGTATTTGAAGATTTTAACAGAGAGGACCAAAAGGCAAAACATATTGTGCTTTCCTTTATAACATTAACCAAATGAAATTCTTTAATAATGCCTTGATATAGTCTGGCAAAATGAAAACTTAGGAAATTAGTTAACTAGTCAGCCTGCAATATCCACTGAAATCTTAAATCATACACACACTTGAGATGAGATTCTTAAAGACATATGCACGGCAACACTTATGAACCTCTTAACAGGTCAAAAGACTCAAAATGTTATATATTAAGGGAAGAGCGATTGAAAAATTGGTAGTCTGAACCACAGAGAAAGCATTTACAAAAACTGAATTTTATAGAAAAGCTTTTGCTTTTTTTTTTTTTTTGTAAGATGCCCTTTGAGTTAAACCTCATACCCACTCAAACTGTGACTGGACAGTACATTTCACTTCTAGTTACTAGAAGACATTTCTTTCAAACAAATTGGGGCAAAGTGGGAAGGAGACTGGAAGCTATTCTTTAGGTCCACCCTGCCCCCTTTAAAAGTAAAACTGATGAATTTAAGTCCAACGACAGATTTTTAAACCAAATTAAAGGGACACAGAATAGTAAAGACAAAATACTATTTTTAGTTTTTTTTTGAAAAAAAAAAAATAGTCCCCTTCTATAAAGAATTTCCACACAGTTTACCTAACATGTTAACAAGAATAGAGAACACAACAGGAGGGAAGAGGACACAGCACCATAGTTTCAAACATTCACATACAAAAACAAAACAGCCATCACAGATATAGTAAGATCAAATTTCCCCACAAACAGGGACAAGACCCAATACACAAAGGAAATATAATTATTTATTTAAACAAAAACAAGAGAGAAGATCTGGTTAGGCCAGGACTGAGAAGGAAGTGGTAACTCCTTGTATTACAAGGAGGAATGGGATTTCTTTATTAAAAAGCAAAAAGGAGTAAGCAAGCCCCCAAATGGATTTCTGATGCTGAAACTCTGTCATATGCTGCTGGTAACAGTAAATATATATATTTATATATTCATATATGTATATCAAAAAAGGAAAAATAATCTATTTATAGAACAGTCAGTAGTCAGAGACATTTAGAAAAAAGTAAAAACAAGTCCTTTTTTCTTTTTTAAAAAATGGATGTACTAAAACAACTTCATCACCCAGAGGTCCTACAATCCCACATCCTCTGATGAAGCCATGGTGTTATTCAACAGCCTCTGCTGTGTGCCACGATCAGAAATGGCCAGTATTGGAAACAGCAGACATTGGCATCAGGGCTGCCAGGCAAAAAGCTGTTATTTGCTGGTCTTACTCATGGCCATGCCTGAAGCCTGGTGGAATCTAGTATACTTGTAAATGACGGTTTTCCTGAAAAGCATGCATCACTGTGGCTCAGTAAAACATTAACTTGTCTTTTCTTTTGCAGAGGCCTGGATCCATGTACCTGCTCTTCTCTAAAATGTAGACTCAAGGCAGCAAAACTTCTCTAAGCCAAAAAAGGCTCCTTGTCTTGAAATAAGAAAAGCTCTCTTCCCAGAATACAACCTAGCCAGATTTCTTAACTATAAGACATCCTCCTCTTTAGGAAGATAAGGTGATCTGCCTCTCTTTTGGGGGTTTCTTCTTGGTACAAGCAAGCACTAGTAGCTGAGGTCTAGACTGTGCTATTATCCCATGACTTCTAACAAGAGTTAACTTCGGCCCTGTTTTTCTCTTAGTTGTACTTTCAGGGCATTAAATACCAGGTAATAGTGGGGAAAAAGTGGTGTCCTGACTCCTCTGTAACTATCCTAAATAAGGAGATCCAAGTAATCAGCACCTTCAGACGGTGCTGTCTCTAGATGGTAAACCTCTAATTAATATCAACTGGCCGTAAGACACATCCCTACATGCCCTGCTAGCACACCAATGTGTTAATCCCAACCAGCCACACTGGAGCTCAAATGTCTGGCCTTAATATAACAAACCATACTCAAAAAAGACATGAACTGAAATATTGGCTGCTGTACCAAAGAAGACACCCTCTGCACAGATGTGTTGATACATAATGTAGATCACACAGTCCATGCAAAGAGGAAGTCAGCTACGAGGACTTTCTTTGAAGGCCATTTGTCTTTGGAAGCAACATTGTGAGTGGACCTAAACCACTCAACTTTATGACTGAGGTCTTAATGTGGTCCATTTTCTCCATGTCCCAAACTAACTCAGCATTTGCTAACTGGTCTCCTTAAGATCCTCCATTGGTAGTTTGTAGCTCATTATGAAGGAAGAAGCTGGTGCTTGACCTGGGCTATCTGGCCCCTGCTTCTTTGCACAGTTTATACAGATGTAATCTTCATTTTCAGCCATTTCTGGAGATACACCCACACAAACTTGATGAAACCACTCATCACAGCCACCATCACATTGTACCCAGTCTACCTGTAAGAGACAAGATTAGGAAATGTTTAGGTTATATAATCATTAAGCCTGAAATAAAAGCAAACCAAAAAGCTTTCTTGGTTTAAATGATAGCAAAAATCAGGATGTCCAGAGATAGACAATGACTTCTTATGGGGTTCTTTTTCAAAGAAAGAAGTTGGGAAGCTAATACCCCAAAGCTATATTTTACCATGGTATGTCCACAAAATTAGGCCCCTTAGGTACTCCATTACCTCATAAATAACCTGGGACTTCTTGTGAGGCAGAAACATGTTTGAGAAAAACTTGACAAAAAAGGAATTTCTAATAGAGCAGCCAAGTAGTTTTAGCTAATATTAACAATTTCTAGGCAATGCAATTATCAATCAAGAAAGGAAGAGCACAACAATGTGAATGCAATCCTGTGTATTAGCTTTATTTCAGAGAGATAAGCCAAAGTACTAAGAGCATTAAATACCTTTTTAGAAAAGCAGTCACATAGGCCACTTTTAAAACTAATATTTTTTATTCTTCTCTTCTTCCGTTACAAATACAACTCCCTATAAAAAGTTAGCAAATATCAGAGGTCACATCTTACAAATTAACCAATTAAAACAGTCAAAGACACAGGTCAATAGATCACTCTGGGGTTTAAAATTAAAGTCTGGATAACTGCTAGGTCAGTGGCATATGCCAGGCAAACTTTGACCCTTCAAAGAAGACTGATTATAGGAGGCTAGAAAGGCACTGTCATTTGGTGACTTCAAGCCTTGGGCCTAGAGTAAAAAATAACGTGGTTTTTGTTTTCCTATTTGGAGGTTGGTTGTGGTGGTTTTCACAGCTGATTTCACGGCAGATACAGTACACACTACAAGAGTCAATGATTTCACTAGCAATGGAAGAAGTCACTTAAAACAATAAGCTTTGCCAGATATCAGAGCAAAGGATGGAGAATGAAGGGATTAAATAAGCACCTCAGTAAAGCTTATGAGAAAGAACAAAGGAAGGAGGTTTTAGCTAAATAAATGAGTTTCAAGGAAAGTGAGTACTTTTCCAAATTAGTTTCCACATACTATAAAAAATTATCAAAACTATGATAGTCATGTTAGTAGTTTTAGGGTTATAATAATGGGTGGGAGAAATCATTTGTCAAAATAATCTTTCTGCTTTCACTGTTTCTGTTCTAGAATTCTAGAGTTTAAGAAACTGTTGTGTAGTAAAGAGTACTGAATTCAGTCAAGTTCTGATGTATATAATTCGAGGCATTTAGTCTCATTAAGGGTTAATTTCTTCATCTGTAAAATGGAGATAACATTTTTACAGAATTATTGAGAAGATCAAATGAAATAATGTATGGCAAAACACCTAGTTACCACCTATGATCCTGGAGGCACCGGTTTAATATCAGTTTCATGGCTCTACTCACTATCTTACCCTCCACAAAACAGTTTGCATCTTTAAATACCTGCCTGGAGCAGCACCCCTTCTCAAAATGTGTAGACCACTTGCATCAGAATCACCTGCTGTGTTTGTTAGAAGTGTAACTGAGTCCCATCCCAAACCTACAGGCTCAGAATATGTTCATAGTACAGCCCGCTGGTGTGGCTCAGAGGACAGAGCGCCGGCCTGCAAACCAAAAGGTCGCTGGGTTGATTCCCAGTCAGGGCACATGAGTTGCAGGCCAGGTCCCCAGTAGGGGGTGCGTGAGAGGCAACCACACATTGATGCTTCTCCCTCTCTTTCCAGCTGTCTAAAAAATAAAATAAATAAAATCTAAAAAAAAGAAAAGAAAAGAAAAGAAATCTTAAAGAAGGGAAGGGAGAAAGAGAGGGAGAGAAGCATAAATGTGTGGTTGCATCTTGTGTGCCCCTTACCGGGGACCTGGCCTGCACCCAGGCATGTGCCCTACACTGGGAATCGAACAGGCGACCCTTTGGTTCACAGGTCAGCACTCAATCCATTGAGCCATGCCAGGGTAGAAGACAACATTTCTAATCAACCCTCAGGTAAATCTTATTCTAAATTTGATCACTGGCACTTTGTGATACTGCTTTCTGTAAAATAGAGCAATTTAACAATTCCTTCCTAAAATAATGTTATTTTTTCTGTAATTGTTTGTATATCTTCTGAAGTCTGCAATAAAGAAAATAATTGATTGAAATGTTCCTATTGTGGCAAACTTTATCAGAGATAGGAAAGGGAGATAATGACTTCCGTACAACAGAATAAAAAAAAGATCCTGCAAGCAGGTAAAAGTTTATAAAGTGCTAACTTGGTAGTAGGTGAACTCAGGATAAACGTTTGGCTATTTGGAGCTGGTAAACGGAATTAGGAAGATAAATTGTTTCTTTGGGATGCCCAGATATGACATATCATCTTGTTTATGATGATACCCCTGAACCCTTCAATCCAGTCCCATTCATGGTAATCCACAGGATAAGAAAGTTACCAATTTATCTGCATTTGCTGCTAAGAAAACTGATCTCATGTCTTTTAAAACCTACATCTGCACTATACTCACTAGCTTCCAGTTTCCTAAAATTAAATTTATCACTCTCTTTAGAACAAGGAAGACATTTTCTCTTTTGTGATTTTTGGCTAGAGGTACATTCCTAGGCCTAGCTTTCCCACTGGATTCCAAAAGAATATATAATTTTTCTTAAGATATTCATTGGTACACAAATGCCATCCCAGGCCACAGGTTATATAAAAATTTATCCTGATAATCTATCAGGGAAACAAAAAACATTCCTTCTCTTATTATCTTTTTATCATGTTCCCCTCTAACAATCAAACTCCAGTTGTTTGAAAAGACCCACGGAGGATCATAAAGCAAACTAAAGTCTGGAGTGTCAATCTGAATCTGCAGAAGATTTTGAAATACCATGATAGACTACATAACAGCCTGAAAACTCAAAAACACAGAATCTGGCTAACTGCATATTAAGATCTAATAGTCATTTCCCCTTTCTTTGCTTCTGGGAGAGGTACTTATTAAATTATAAAAATAATTATTAAAAACTTCATAGCTATGAGCTGTTTAAATATTAACTAATAAGAGACTTAACATTATAGATCAAACAAGTTACTGGGTTTGGATTTCAGGAAATGTGTATTTAAAAGAGAAATATATTAAATAGAGGAAATAATTTAAATTTGACATGTCATGTTTTGCTATACCACTTATATTCCCACTTAAAAATATTTGGCATATTATATTTTGTTCAATTCTTAGAGCATATTACTGCGATGGGGAGAAAAAGCCTGGTGATTTAGTGACATTCTTAGCTCAGTTACTCAACTGAGCTTTTGTTCAATACCAAAATTGAGATTTTGTCATTCAGTCTCTTTTGTACCAAGGTTCCTTGCAAAGGTTAGATTTGAAAATTTTTTTAATTCACTTAATGAAGTACAACATGACATGTATTCAGAATATTACTAGCTACTTTTTTGGTGCATTCAGCATTAAGTGACCTGGTTCTCTCAGTCTGCCCAAAATTGATAGGTTTCTCAAGACACAGAATTTCACTGCTAAAAGTAGGAAAGTTGCAGGCAGTTAGTACATGATGTGAGAGACAATTTTTTAAAAAATCTATTCGGGTAATATTTTCCCTTTCTCTTTCTAAAATATTTTGAAATTGAGGCTGGGTAACATTTAAGTAATCCTTCAAAGTTTTCTCAATCTGCACATTTTGGGGAATAAGTAATAACTATTGGTTAGAAAAATGGTAAATATACGTTTACCTAAGAACCCTAAGTTATTTTTTACTGCATGGTATTTTAAAGAAGATAAGCTACCCTAAAAAGCATTCTTTTCTTGTCAGCATTTTGTTTGGAGATGTGTGCCATACATTAATTTGGTCTTCTTAAGAGAAATATTATACTTCAAATTGAGAAAGTTGTAAAATTCATTACAAAGCTTATAAAGAAATATATCTTTTATGTAGTGAAACTGGTGTAGGAACAAACCGGAAGAACCACAAAAACTGCAAAATAGCAGTGATGGGCAAATTGTTTAAAATATGAAATAATCTGTTTAAAATTAAACACATTACAGACATACAATATTTACTAAATTTCTTTTATGTAAACTAATGATAGGTTAAGGCACACACTCCTCACCTTTGTATGTGTTTTAACAGTTTAAAATAGACATTTTCTCTGAATGTTAAATCTCTTTTTGCTCCATTATAATGTAGGCAACTTTCTAAGTTCCTTAAAAAATCACCTGGTAGGAGCAAATACTGGTAGGAACAACTTTTAGAGCTCATTTAATAATAATGATCACACTAACACTTATATTGCAGCTTCGGTTAACAAGTGCTTTCATAGAGATTATCTCACCTATCCTCGTAAGCCTGAGAATAAGGAAGTTCATTTTAAAATTTTATAACAGATAAGAAAAAAACTATGTGTGGTATTTATATGCTACAAGAAGATAAAAGGAGAAAAAAGAGAATGTAGAAGATTCATAGTGGATATAATAAACACTGTAAGGATAACAGGCAAGCTTGAAAAAGAAATATATTTTGCTGACAGTCCCAAAATTACCATAAAATTAGTTAAAGGAGAAGAAGAGAGACGGTTCTGCCAACACTGAGCTGCTAATACCCAAAGAGAAACAGTTAACCTTTTATCAGCCTCTTTCATAAACAAACTCAGATGAGAATAAATTCAAAATGAAAAATAAAAATACACACATATTTACTAAAATGTTGTAAAATGTTTATAGTATATAGAAGATTCTTATGAAATTAATAAAGCTACAAAGTGAATAGACAGTATGAAGTAATAAAATAAACTATATAAAAAAAGGATTGGAAGGAAAAACAAAAATATTCATAGCTATTGTCCTTGAAGGTCAGACTATGGGATATATATTTTATTATATATTCATTTTCCAAAACTGAGTACGAAAACTTTAATAAGTATAATTTAAATGTAAGTACCATTAAGTTTCAGAATGTGATTTTGTATTTACATCTCAATTAATGGTGGGCTGAGGATACTAGTAGAGAGAACCTGGTCTGTTGGGCCCAGTAACCAAGGTTCTACTTTTGGTCTTGCCACTAATTAGCTCTGTGACTTGGGTCACATCCCTTATCTTCACTGAGTCCTGTTTTCATCATTTATAAAATGAAAAACCCTGGACAATGTGACCTTTTCAAGCTCTATCAATATTTGATTAAGGAGGGAACTGGGAATAATGATGCAGTTGTATTTATTCGGTTCGTATTTTCAAACTGGGAAGCTATTAAAATTCTAAATACCAAAATGGTATAATGAGCATAATAAAATTAAAACTATGAATTTACTAATAATCTTGATGAGAACCATAATAGATATCTCCAGTCATTTTATGAACTGAGATTTTTTCATAAAGTCCATTTGTCTTTCTCAGAACATTAATACTACCTAAAGATGGCCATAACACATAATTACTATACTTAAAACTAAGGACCAAAATTTTTAAAGATTACCTTTAAAGGTCTTTTTTATTTTTTATAAAGGATTTCAAAAAATCATATTCTACTTAGGAGAGTGCACATAGGCCTGAGTGTGGATAAGACACAGATCAAAAAGACTTAACCCCTTAGTTTTAGGTTATTAGAATAAATTTTAATGCAATTTTCCAGGGCTCTTAAAATATGAGCCAAGGGTATTTTCAACCCACTGTGTCTAACTAACAATGGCCTATGTTAGTTCAGGCTAACTAACAAAGTATTTAGTTCTCTAAGTCACCCTATTGGGAAGGCTAAGACTATTGTGAAATTTTTTATGCCAACGCATATGAAATGCACTGCTGCCTCAGGTTGTATCACACAGCTCCTCTCTGCTCTTGCCTCATTATTTCACTAAGTATATGACTTTTAAAATGGAACAATTCTTCTATTGAGCACACTGCCCTAATTCAAAATAATTCAAAAACAGTTTATAGAACTGTAAATATATGTTGAAAGCACAAACCCTGGGATCAAAAACAAACTATCACTATGTTAAACATATGTTTCCACACCTGCTGCTCCTTATCCTCTCTAACACTTGCACCTACACTTCTTTAGGACTCACCTTGTCCTTGCAGGGCCGTTGGCAGTTTTGTGCTGCGCATACAGCATTCTCGTCATCAGATTCCTCTGCTCCTGACCAATCATACTTTGAGGGGATGTCCAGCACTTTTTTCTCTCTCTTCTTCTCAGTGTTCTCTTTCACAAGCTCAACTTTGGCTGCAGCAGCCTTCTCCTTCTTTTTCTTTCTCTCCTCTTCTTTTGCCAGTTTCTTGGCCAGTTTGTTCAGCTCCTTTGATTTTTCTGCACTTAATTTTAATTTCTTCTTTTTAGGTTTATCCATTTTCTTTAACTCCTTGGACTTCTGTTTTCCTTCTCCAAAGAGCTGTTCTACTTTTTCTAGTTTCCGTTTCCGTTTCTTCTCTGAAGAGTCCTTTCCTTTTACTTTTAATGGTTTTTCTTCCATGCTGTCATCCTTCAAAAATATAAAATTATAAAAAATTCTGAAGTAAGACATTTAAAAATAGTTTAGTTCTCTTATGTGAGTTATCTTAAAGAGTCAAATACATAAGCACAAAGTATAGTAGAGATTACTGGAGGAGAAAGAAATGAGATTCATTGCTTAATGGATATAGAGTTTTTGTTTGGGATGTTTAAAAAGTTCTGCAAATAGATAATGGTGATCATTGCATAACACTGTGAATGGAATTAACACAACTGAATTATATACTTAAGAAGGATTAAATAGTAAATTTTGTGTTGTGTACACTATACCACAATAAATACTCTAAAGATATTTAAAAGACATTTTAAGAAGGCAAATATAATATTCAATGAAGATAATCAACAGCAGAAAATAGTTCCAAGCCCTAAATAAAACATCCCTCTTATTTTTAGCTTGCTAGGGGAAAAAAGAGCAAGAAGTTTCACTGTTAGTATATATTAATATAATCCATAGCATCTCTGTTTTAGATGAAAACACACACAGAAAACTAAATGTAACTGGTGCAGCCATTGTGGAAAGCAAGTGTGGAATTCCCTCAAAAAGCTAAAAATGGAACTGCTTTTCGATCCAGTGATTCCCCTGCTAGGACTATACCCTAAGAATCCCAAAACACCAATTCAAAAGAACCTATGCACCCCAATGTTCATAGCAGCACAATTGACAATAGCCAACTGTTGGAAGCAACCTAAATGCCCATCAGTAGATGACTGGATCAAAAAATTATGGTACATTTACACAATGGAATACTATGCAGCAGAAAGAAAAAAAGAACTACTACACTTCGCGACAGCATGGATGGAACTAGAGTATTAGGCTACGCGAAACAAGCCAGGGGGCAAAAGACAAATACCATATGATCTCACCTATAAGCGGAACCTAACCAACAATACAAAGATGCAAGGAAAATAAGACCAGCAACACTGAAAGGAAAAGAAACCAATAGAGACAAGAGGGAAGGAGGGAAGGGTAGGCGGGGGGAAAAAGAAGGGAAGGGGGAAGTCAAGGAACATATAGCAAGGACTCATGGACAAAACCAAAGAGGAAGGATTGAGGGAGGGAGCGGGGGAGGGGGCAAGGGAATGTGGTGGGGGGAAGGCGGAGACAAATATATTTGAAAAAAAATAAATTAATTAAAAAAAAGAAAAATTACCAAATTAAAAAAAAAAACTAAATGTAGTAAATGTACATTAAATTATGTAATAATTTGTTGGTCTCCATTTACCACTACTATAGTTCTTTATTAACTCAATTAATAAAATCTTGGTGGTTAGTAAGTTATTAGAAATCCTATCGAAACATATAAAATTTATCATGATCTCATTACAAAGGGTATATAGTGACTTTGACAAGAGCTAGGCAACAGTTGATGTGACAAGGCAAAAAAAAATTTATCATTTTTCATTTCAACTTTCTAATATTGTTATTTTGTGCCGAGGCAATAATATTAAAATTTTAGTAGTAAAGTATGCCTAATAACAGAAAGAACAAGGGGAAAATTAGAAAAAGAAAAACTAAAACTATGTTTGATAATTACTTAGGAAATAACACTTGAGAATTTTTTCAGACTTGAGACTGAAAAATCTTGACAGGAATCTAAAAATCTGTAGACTCCAAAAAAACGCTGCGTTATAAATGTCTAACTCTATTACATCTTGAACAAGATATCTAACCTCTGAACATTTTATGTTTCCTTATATGTAAAATAAGAGAGAGAAGATCAGATGAGATAACGAATGTGAAGAAAATGCTCTGTAGATTGGAAAACATTATTTATATTATGCTACACCTTGGATTTGACTTTCAAACCAAAAACAAATTAAACTATATAGTATGCTAAGTGTATCTGTATCAACTATTGGTCACACTGTACCAGTGTATTAAATAGAAACAAATAATGAAAAGAAAAGGTTTCTCTGTTTTTACTACATGTGTGACCTTAGGCAAGTTTCTACTTCTTGCATCCTTAATTTCTTCACATGCAGAACGGCTAAAAATATCTGCCTTGTCTATTCTTTCCCCTCTCCCCCTCAGGATTATGTTGAGGATCAAACGAGATCAAAGATTTATAAACACTGTATATGTTACAAACTGCTATGCAGGTATGACAGATGAATGTGGACTTTCCCTCCCCACTTCTGTATAACTGTTTCCTTAGGAAGCTTATTTTTTGTTTTAAAAAAAAGTAATGATAATTGTTTATTCTAGGTTTTTTATTTTTCAATTACATTTGAGGTACAATATTACATTAGTTTCAGGTGTATGATCCAGTAATTAGACATTTATATACTTACAAAGTGATCACCTCAATAAATCTAGCACCAATCAGAGGACATACACAATTATTAGAATATTATTGACTGTGTTCCCTATGCTGTACTTTACATCCCTATGACTCTTCCATAACTACCAATTTGCACTTCTTAATCCCTTCACCTTTTTCACCCATCCCAACCCTCCTCCCACCTGACAACCATAAAAACATTCTCTGTATCTATGAGTCTGTTTCTGTTCTGCTTCTTTATTTTGTTTAGGTTCAACTGTTGATAGATATGTATTTATTCCCATTTAATTGTTCACATTTTTTTCCCCTAAAAAAGACCCTTTAACATTTTAAGTAATAATGGCTTACTGGTGATGAACTCCTTTAGTTTTTGGGGGTTTTTTTCCTCCTTGTCTGGGAAGCTCTTTATATGTTCTTCAATTCAAAATAATAGTTTTGCTGGGTAGTGTAATCCTGATTGTGGGTCTTTGCTTTTCATCACTCTGAATATCTCTTGCCAATCCCACCTGACCTGCAAAGCTTCTGTTGAGCAATCAGCTGACAGCCTTAAGGGAGCTCCCTTGTAGGTAACTAACTGCTTTTCTCTTGCTGCTTTTAAGATTCTCTTTGTCTTTAACCTTTTGCATTTTAATTATGGCGTGTCTTGGTATGGGCTTATTTGGGTTCACCTTGTTTGGGACTTCCTGTACTTTCTGGAATTATATGTCTATTTTTTTCACCAGGTTAGGAAGTTTTATTTCAGTATTTTTTAAAATAGGCTTTCAAATCCTTGTTCTCTCTCTTCTCCTTCCAACACCCCCATGATGCAAATGTTAGTACGCCTGAAGCTGTCCCAGAGGCTCTTTATACTATCCTCATTTTTTTTGGATTCTTTTTCCTTTTGCTGTTCTAATTGGGTGTTTTTTGCTTCCTCATATTCCAAATTGATGATTTGTTTCTTGGTTTCATCTACTCTACTGTTGATTCCCTGTAAATTATTCTTCATTTCAGTTAGTGTATCCTTCATTTATGGCTGGTTTGTTCTTACGGTTTCCATCTCCTTTTTATGTTGTTGTAGTTATTAAGTTCACTCTTCCCCTAAGTTCACTGAGCATCCTTATAACCAGATGTTATGAACTCTGCATCTAGTACATGGCTTGTCTCCATTTTGTTTAGTTCTTCTGGAGTTTTGTTCTATTCTTTCATTTGAAACATGTTTGTGTCCTCATTTTGGCTGCCTCCCTGTGTTTATTTCTATGTATTAGGCAGAGCTTCTACATCTCCTAGTCTTGGTAGAGTACCCTTATGTAACAGTTGTCTTGCAAGGCCCAGTGATGCAGCCTCCCTGGTCACCTGAGCTAGGGTCTCCGGAGGTGCTCCCCATGTGGACTCTGTGCGCTCTCCTGTTGTACTGTCTTGAGTACTGTTGGCATGTCGATGGAAGAGATTTTCCTCCAGGCCAGCTGGCTTCAAGGGCTTCCTGCAATCACCACGGAGGACATGCTGTATAGGGACCAACCCCATGGAGCAGGACACACTTCAGCAGAGCTCTGGTGTCCACCCATTGAGTGCGTCAATTGTGGAGGTGGGTAGGTGGTGCTTTGGCGTAGTCTGAAGCTGTCCACTGGGTCCACTGGCTTTGGAGCCTTCCAAGGGGTGCAGGCCAAGGTCAACTATTCCCTGTGCCCTGCCGGGGCCAGTTGGCATGAGCTACAAAGCAATCTGCAGATAATTACTGCATGTGCTGGGCTTAAAGATGCCCAAGGCAGGTCAAGCTGCAAACCAAGGCTGGCTCCACTAGTGCTGGGCCTGGGGACACTTACCAAGAGGTACAGGGCACACCCAGGCCAGATGCTCCTTGTTTGAGAGACTTTAGGAAAGATGGCAGCTTTGTGCCAAGCCTTGGGAAGTTTCTTTTTTTAACCACTATATTTTGCCCCTGCCTAACTTCTGGGCCTTTGAATAATGGGAATCTGGGCTAAGGAAGCTGTTCTGTATTGGTGATTTTCAGAATCCCCTTTTTAGCAGAAATGACCTATTTTTCCTCTAAATTTTTTATCACATAAAATTTCAATAAGAAAACCATAAAGTAGAATGACTTGGCTTAATCAGAAAGTAGGACAGAGAGAATACTACCCACTCAGCCATCTCTCCTTGCCAACATTTATGGGACCTCCAAGGAATTTGGGCATTCTAAGTCATTTTACAACCACTTACTTAAGCTTTAAATCCATACCTCCATGATATGCAGAAATCTGTCTTCAGAGGGTGGGTGTGTGGCCTGCAAAATCCGCCATATATGTTGAGTCTCATCCAGAGATACTTCTAGGAGATCTCCAACCATCATAAGTTCTTCCAGCTGGGCTTTAGCTCCAGGTGACAAATCCAATACAGGAGGTTCCAAACTTCGGGGTACCAAAGGGCTCTTCCGAGGTTGTTTCCTGGGGGTGCTAGAACCTTTCCAAAAAAATATTATCACAAAACAAAACTGAAAACTATGGAAAAAACATAGTTTCCAAAGTAAATATTCAGAAAAACGTTTCTTCCTCCCCCAACATTTTGGACATCTGGACTGAATGCATCAGTATTAAAGTGAAAATGAAATTAAAAACAAATATAGAACAAAAAGATATAGAATTCTAACACCCAGTCTAAAAAATTGGTTTAGAGTAAAAAAAATGGTTCCTTATTATTTCTTTATCTTGTGACTGGAGGGGAAGGAGACTAAAAAGAATCTCTTAACCCATGCTCTCTCCCTTTTAGAGGATACCAACAGATTGAGCATGTATCTACCCAGATAAATAAGTGGTTATTTTTCTAATAAATAGACCACACAACTGACCCTTGAGCAGATGGGTTTATATTGCACATGTTAGGGTCTACATGTAGACAGAATACTGTGTGTACACTTAAACATAGATATTTAAAATACACATATAAGTGAACTCATGAAGTTCAAATCTGCCTCATTCAAGGGTCAACTGTGTTTTTGATCTGAGGTTGGGAATCTATGTATACAAAGGGCTGACTTAAGTTATGTGCTAACTTTTGGAATGCACAGTGAATCTGTGCCCCTAACCACAACATTGTTCAGAGGTCAATTTTAATATGCTGTCCTGTAAAATTCTGAATTTTACTATGAAGAGATGAACACACTCCATTTTCCAGAGATGTGACTTAAAGCAATGTGACTTTTTTCACTGGGGAAAAAGAAAATGAACATAACAGAGAAATTATGTACCAAGGAAAGAAACAACTTTCTGACAAAGCTCTCTGAAACTAGAATTAATATTCTTAAAAAGAAGCAAGTTCCTCAACAACTGGTTATGAACAAAAGGTGGCTAAATGACTCCTTATCAAGTATTTTATAAAAATGAAAGATGGGCCCTGGCTGGGTGGCTCAGTTTGTTGGAGCATCCTCCCATGCACCAATGCTGCAAGTTTAATTCCCAGTCAGGGAACATATTTAAGTTGTGGGCTCAATCCCTGGTTGGGGTGCACACAGGAGGCAACCAATAAATGTTCCTCTCCCCCCACCCTCCCCATCCCTCCCTTCCAACCCCCTCTCTGAAATCAATAAAACATATCTTGGGATGAGGAGTTAAAAAAAAAGGGAGATGGGAGTAGATGGCTTCTAAAGTTCTTCTCATTAGGATCCAATAATTCTATGTAAGTTTTCAGATTATCATCTAAATGACAGAAAATAGAAATAGGGACTGGCTTCTCCTAACCAAAATTGCATCTTCAGGTTCTAGTAGTATTTCATGGCAAAGATATGTATTTAAGAGGAATTCATACTCTTGATTTAAAAAATGTTTTTTTCTCACTGGTCTCAGGCTTATCTTCTCCACACTGTTGTAAAGAGTAATACCTTGAGAACAACTCTTAGACGCAGAAGAATAAGCATGTTCTGCACAGAATGAAGGTGCTGTCCACATGTGAGTGACTACCTCCTCAGACTTAATGGGAATCTCTTCATCACAAAAAAGGTTGGGTTCCAGACTACTGGAGGACTTCACACTGGCTGTGTCCTGAAGAAGAAACAAAGAGGGGTATTCAGAATTAGAACCACTTAACTTACCACATGACAATGATCTAAATGCAAACTTTCAGGTTAAAACTTCTAATACAACATACTAACAATATGACTTTAAAATTAAATACATGATCTTAAATAAGAGAAAATGTCCACGAGATACCAGGAGTGAAAAAAAAGAAAAGAAAATGTCCATGGGGGCGGGGGTGTAGTGAAACAGTAATGACCACAGTTTCAAATGAAAAGGAAAGAGTAAAGCTCCAAAATAATCCACAGAAATAATAAAGCTCCAGGAAAATTACTATTGAGTAATTTACCTTCTATAGTTTATAACTCATAAGAACTCATATACCCCCAAGAAGTTAAGGAATTCTGACCCTTTAAAAAAATAAAATAAAATGAACTTAGGAGAGTAAGAAAAGTTTAAGTGTGACATCTTAAGAACATAAATCATTTAAGCCTCTCTAAAGGTTTTGAAACCGAGAAGCTCACCAATTGCTCCTACTTAACACAGTGACGAGCCTGACTGATAATATTCGAATTATACAATTCTGACAGCTCTGATTAGGTCTCAGATGATTTTCCTCTGTGGTTAATTTCTATAAACTCACATGTACAGCTTTAATAGAGTGGAATCAGAAAGACAGAAATCAAATGTATTTCAACAGGGAGAATTTTAATAAAGTGAAATGGCTAAATGTACAGGGTGCAGCAAATGTAGGTTTACAATTGTTCATATGGAAAATAATACCATAATTAGTGACTAATGATATATGAATAAACTCTGGTTTGCGTACTCACAACTGTAAACCTACTTTTGCCATGCCCTGTACTTTAAAGACTAGAAGGGCAAAGGGTAACACCAAGATAACTGCAAGAAAGAGTTGTTAAGCACTCTCTAGTGCTTAAGGTAACAAAGGGAAGGAGTGGGGTTATTAGAACCTAAAAACTCAGAGGAAGAGCCCTGAGGAGTTGGGATCCAGATCTCTAAGGAAGAAACCCCAGCCAGTTAGTTCTGCTGTCTCTAATGAAACATGACATGGTTGGCTTCTAGGGTGTGAAAAATTTAGAAACTAGAAACAGTTGCCAATGCCAGGGTAAGAAATAAAAAACATGCAGTTCAGATGATGACAGGAATGAAAAAGACAACAGGAAAGACCAAGTCCCTTCTTGTCCAGAACATTTAATTTTCTCTAATGTCCTCTATTGGGAGAGGGGAGGCAGCAGGTGAAGAACAAATGTGTACAACAGAGGTTAGCTCACTACAACCTGTGAACCAAATCCACCAGCAGGCCGATTTTTTATATAAAGTATGTGCTAAGAATAATTTTCACATCTTTAAAGAGTTGTTTAACAGACAAAATAAAGGAATATGTAATAGAGAACTTATGTGGCTCTCAAAACCTAAAATATTTACTATATATTAATACACATTATATATAACACATATAATTCATATTAACATATATATTACATAACATATAACATATTATAGTGTATATTAATATATATATATATATATATATATATATATATTGCTTTACAGAAAAAGTTTGAAATCCCTGGTATAGAGTCGCTCTCTTAGCAACATAAAGATTATAAGAGAGTGGTTAAGAGAAGGGAGACAAAAGCTTAATGACTAATATAACACCTGATTCTCCCGGTATGGAGCATGAGAGGAAAATCTATTATCATGATATTATCCTTAATTAAACAGGATATTTAAAAAGTTTTATAACAGAATTCTGAAAGACAATGCTACTCACTGAAAATTTAGGAATAGCAGTTCATTGTTTTCTTCCCTATTCAAGAATTTAAGTTTTATTAAAAAGCAACAGGTAATACAGTACTGTAGTACTATACTTTCCTATTTTAGTTCCCAGGTGGTGGTTCTCACTGACTGGAATAGGAATTATTTTTTCTGACCGTGACTCTATTCAATTCACTATAAATCAAGAAAAAACTTTTGTCAGGCTTTTAAAATGGAAAGAATGGTTGATGAGGGGTACCCCGTTCCCACAGAGTCCCCCAGGGTCACCACGGATTGAGGAAAATAAAATAAGTCATTCCAGACACTCTTGGTCTGCCAGAAAAAGGGGGTAGTGATTTCCTCTAGAGGAAAATGCCCCAGCCCTTCTCTTGAAGTGGCTTTTATTGAGAAGGATATGTGCAGGAGTATCCAGCATGTATGCAAAGCTCATCAGTCAATGTCAAAAGGCTATGTTTACAGAAAACAGAGATCACAGATAACAATTGAAGTAACACAGAGATTTGCCTAAGGTCAGGTATGGTAGACAGGGTGGTGCCCATTCTGCCCAGAAACTGATCACATTCTATGCTCAACCCCAAACATTAGTAGTCATTAACTGGAGGGCATTCTTAGCAAAGTTTCACAGGATTTATCCATGCATTCCTTTTCCAGACCTAATTGTCCCCAGGAACCTCCTGATACAGTTTAGGGCTGCACCTGCCTTTAGTATTGTTTCACTGACCTGATTAGGGGGCAGAGCAGACAAGAGATAAGGAGACTTCTTTCAGATAGAACAAGGATTCCCGCCATGACAAAGCTGAGGGGTGAGGCTCTTTTGCCCCTTCTCCATGTTCCCCCAAGTCCTTCCCTGAGGGCGCCCACGTGACTGTGCCTGTCTTAGGTTGCCCCTGCCATCGAGGGGGTCTTACCCATCATTGACTAACCAGTCATCCTCCGGGGCCATGCCGTGTGATGTGAGGGAGGCAGGGGCTATGGCCCTGCGAGGGGGAAAAGTTTTGTCTCCTCAGTGGCCTATTTTCCCAAGGCCTCCTTGTTCAGCTCCAGCCTTGGGGCCCTCTTGCCTGTTGTCAAGGCTATAGTCCCTGAAACTAGAAGGGACGGTTCCCAACAGATGATGATCAGAAGACAAAGAAGAAAAATAATAAGTAAAAAGAAATTTTTAAAAAATTTATTTCTCCAAGCAAACTATGAAATGTGAAGAGGTACAATACTGAAATATTTTTGAAAATTTCAATTAACCCAAAAGAAGGCCGGAAAAGAACAATATAGGAACAACAACAACAAACCCCCCAGCTTAATAAAAAATATCAAGATGGTCAACTTAAACCAAACCATGTCAACAATTACAATACATTAAATGTAAATGGATTAAAAACCTTCAATGAAAAGACAGATCATAATATTACTTAAAAAACCACACGAAAAGACTCAACTATATATTTTGCAATTACATATACATGCAGAATACCTATATATGAGAAGAAATGACTCTACTACATATTACCTCAAGACACACATATTAAAGACACCTAAGTTGAAAGTAAAAGGCTGATAAACAGCATGCTTAAATAAACTACTCTTCCTAAGGAGGGAAATTACAGTACAGTCCCACTAATGGCAAATATGCAAGAAAGGTAGAAGGGCCTCTGAGTTAAAACTGTTTTATAAAGATGAAGGCATGGGTAAACACATTTGCCCCCTTGCACAACCACAACAAAAATTTCAACTAAACTACAAAACAACGTCAGAAAATCAAGCTGTGTGAAGTCCAACAACCAAGGAATTAAGGAAGTCGCATTCATCCAGACAGGTAGGAGGAGCGAAGACACAGAGACATGTGGAGACATGGAAGGGGCTGTCCTTCACCCATGTGTGGTGGATAAAAACCAGGAGAGATACCTCAGGAGTGAGAGATCCTAGCTCCATACCAGACCACCCAGCCCAGTGTTCCAGTGCCAGGAAGGTAAGTCCTGTAACTTCTGGCTATAAAAATCAGTGGGTGTTGGGGCGGCAGAAGAAACTGTGGGATTCTCAAGCATATCTTCTTAAAGGGCCCACAACAGACTTAGGACTTATGCAGACTCACTCCCTTGGGCTCCAGCACTGGGGCAGCAGCTAGAAAGGCACCCGTGGCATAGGAGAAACTAAACTGTCTGGCATCAGTGTGACTGCTGGGTGACTGCTGGGGAACAGCTTCCTTCTGGACAAAATTCCAGAGGCCAGGTAGCAACCATTGTCCCCTTTCTGAGCCCTCCCTGTCGAAGAGCCACACAGCAGCAACACCATTATTAGAGACTCCATCAACCTGGTTCACACAGGTTGCCCCACGCTGGTGATTACCTAAGGTTCCTCCCCATCCAACTTACTGGTGAGCTTTTCTACAACAGGCCATGCTTGTAAGACAGAGTCAAAGTAGCTGTACCTAATATGTAGAAACAAACACAGGGAGACTGCTAAAATGAGGTGAAAAAGAAATATGGCCCAAATGAAAGAACAGGAGAAAACTCCAGAAAAAGAACTAAACAAAATGGAGATAAGCAATCTATCAGGTGCAGAATTCAAAACAATCATTACTAAACAGATGCCCAAGGAGCTCATTGGGTACTTCGGCAGCACAAAAATGACCCAGGCAGAAATAAAGTTTACGCTAAGTGAAATAAAGAAAAATTTAAAGGGAACCAACAGTGATGTGGTTAAAGCTGAGACTTGAATCAATGATCTGGAACACAGGGAAGAAAAAAACGTTCAATCTGAACAGCAGGAAGAAAAAAGAAAACAAACAAACAAACAAAAACAAGAATAGCCTCAGGAGCCTCTAAGACAACTTCAAACATACAAACATTCGAATTACAGGGGTGCCATGAGGAGAAGAGGAAAAGCAAGAAACTGAAAATTTATTGGAAAAAATAACAAAAGAAAACTTCCCTAATTTGGCGAAGGCAACAGATGTATATGTAAGTCCAGAAAGCACAAAGCATCCCAAACATGTTGGACCCAAAGAGGACCATACCAAGACACATCACAGTTAAAAGGTCAAAGGTTAAAGATAAAGAGAGAATCTTAAGAACAGCAAGAGAAGAGCAGAGACTAACATACAAAGGGGTTCCCCTAAGACTATCAGCTGATTTCTCAAAAGAAACTTTGCAGGCAATACGGGATTGGCAAGAAGTATTCAAAGTGATGAAAAGCAAGGAGCTACCACCTGTATTACTCTATCCAGCAAAGTTATCCTTTAGAATGGATGGGCAGATAATGTGCTTCCCAGACAAGGTAAGCTAAAGGAGTTCATCATCACCAAGCCAGTATTATATGAAATGTTAAAGGGACTTATTTAAGAAAAAGATGAAAACTATGAACATTGAAATGGCAATAAAATTCACAACTATCAACAACTGAATCTAAAAAAGCAAACTAAGCAAATAAGCAGAGCAGAAACAGAATCACAGATATGCAGATCATTTGTATGGTAATCAATTGAGGGGAGGGGGAAGGAGGAGAATGGGGGAAAAGGTACAGGGGAATAAGAAGGACAAATTGGTAGGTACAGACAGGGGAAGTAGTCAAAGAACTTAAATGCATGACCCATGGACATGAACTCAGAGGGGGACTGCCAGAGGAAATGGTGGGTACTGGTTAGAGTGGGGAAAAGTGTGAAAAATTGGGACAACTGTAACAGCATAATCAATCAAGTATATTAAACAAAAGAGAAATGTGTTTTATATATAGATCACTCCATCTTATCTGGTATTAAATCAGACTAAAGTCTTAAGAAAAAAAGCCTACTCTATTTCCACTAAAGCTCAAGCCACCCAAGTATTAACAAGGGTGAGAAGAAAAAAATAAAAGAATCTAAGTGCTTAACTTGCCTTTTGCTAAAATAAGCAATTACTGGGATACAAAAAAAGAACTTCCTGGGAGATAATTACTACTACTGTTTTAAAACCTCCCTTCTGATGTATAATTCTGCACATATATACATTGGCAAAATATAAACTGTAATACAAATAAACAGTTTCAGTAAAGGTAAACAATATGCCTTGAAAGGAAATAATCGTATGAATATCTGAAAGAAGGTTATTCCAGACACAATCACAAAAGACCTAGGACAGACCGCTTCATTAAATATGCATTTTCTTAAGTAATAATTTTCTTTTCTCTTTTTAATCCTCACCCTAAGATATGCTGATTTCAGACAGTGGGGAAGGGAGGGAGAGAAAAAGGGAGAAAAACATCCATATGAGAGAAACATCGATCGGTTGCCTCCCATATGCATCCCTGACAGGGACTAAACCCACAACCCAGGCATGTACCCTGACCTGGAATCAAACCTGCGACCTTTGGTTTCATGGGAGGATGCTCTAACCAACTGAGCCACACCAACCAGGGTAGTAATAATTTTCTTGAATTGCTGCACAGAGTATTTTAATGGTGTTCACAGAACATAACACGCAAAATGAAGTACACAATGTAAAGCAAAAACTAACTGTTTTAAGCATTCAAATGCTAGGATAACTAAGATCAAATGACCGATTTTATTTTTCTATATAATTATGTACTCTTCTTCTGAAACCAGTAGGGGACTATTCCTCAAGTAAAGATATTAAATTCAAACTGTCTTATGGATGGATTCATGGTCACAATCAGGGGACATCATACAAAGGGAAAAATCACCAAGCCAATTGCAATAAATGAGCAAATAAAATTTTCATCAAAATAAGTGCTTGCTTGCTCTATGGAAAAATAAGAGTATAATTTTTTTGGATGCAAAGATATCTACAGCAAGGTAACTTGTACATTGAATTAACTTAAGTCTTACACCATTCTTCCACTCTTCTATGATGTCAACACATTGCTAACACTATAAAGTCCATACTTTTATGTTTCTACCCTGCCAATACCCTTGACCAAGGAAGAAACATATGGTGACATTCCCATATAAATTTTACAAAAAAGGTCTACTCCACACAACTATAAGAAACCACAGTTTTGATCCCTAACCCTGAAATCATGTAATACTTGTGGTTTTGTTTTTATAAGTTACCAATCTACTTCCAAGCAAAGCCCATCCTGTTTAGCAATTCTATAGTAGCTGTTGATTATTAATGTGCTTGAAAGATAATCCAAATATTGGAGGCCTCTAAGCTATGGCAAACAGGTAATTCTAGTATTAGCACAATAATATATACGTGGCATGGGCTGCATTTCCTTTCAGCTGCTCCTGGTCATCCTGTACAACAAAGATGGTCATTAATTTCAGGGTAACAAGGTGCATAGAACGTTGTTTTAACAAGGTAATTCAAATTTCAACGTTTCTCCAGTCTTTAAGACTCCCTCATTAAAACATCCCCTGGATCCATTTTTATTTTAAGAAAAATATTATCTGGCATATAATTTACAAGCATCTATGATGGTTAGTTTCAATTTCATATCCTAGGAATTTAATGCTGATGATATTCATGCTCTAAGAATGAGCTTACCTATCTGATTTGCATGCTGAAAAGACAAAGAAAAGATAGTTAAGGGGTATGGCAAAGATTGCACCTAGTTTTTTCATAGGTAAGAGCACAAACTGCCTGGCTACAGGAACAGATTCTAAACAGATCAAAAAATAATAACATTACTAGTAAAAGACAAGGACTTGGGCCTGACAAGAAATAACAATAAAAGGCCAATAAGCCCTGGCCGGGTGGCTCAATTGGTTGGAGCATCATCCCATGGCACTAAAAGGCCATGGGTTCAGATCCCAGTCAGGGCACATACCTAGGTTGAGGGTTTGTCCTGATCATGGCACATATGGAGGGCAACCGATCATCAATGTTTCTCTCTCACATTAATGTTTCTCTCTCTCCCTTCCTCTCTCTCTGAAGTCAGTGAACATATCCTTGGGTGAGGATTTAAAAAAAAAAAAAAAAGGCCAATAATATCCAACATAAAACAAACTTGCCAACTTTCTCTTCATCACCAGTGTGGTGTCCTTATCAAATAGTAAATTCTAACCGTAACTGTAACTGCAAATTCAAACCACAGGCCTAAGTATAAACCATCTCTGATTATGACACTGATCTAGCATCAAACAGATGAGAGATGATGAGTCCAAAGCAAAGGACTCAAAGTACAGCTACAATGGAATTCTTAAAATAAAACCGTACAGATGTTAACAACTCAAAAATAGTGAAATCGGCCATAAAAGCTTTCAGTAACTAAATGCATAATTCTATTTCCCATAAGCCATAAAGAGTTACAAAGCAATGAAAATAAATACAGCTTAAAAATTTCATTCTTTAAAAAAATTGGTATTTCATTAATCCGTAGTTTTTGGAGTTTTGAAAAAACAGTACCACCATAAACCCTAGATAAATAGACTACTAGCTTTCTCTTCTATTCTCAGGCCTCAAACATCAGTATTAAATAACTTTTTAAACAAACCTAGTGGTCAGGCATGTATCCACACACCTGGCCATGTAATTACCTTCATGTCATAGCCGTATGTCTCCCGAATGTCTTCATCGGAGTCTGTTTCTTCATCATCATAATCCATTGTTTGTCGAGGGGAAGAGGATACGCTGCTTACCATCCGGTTAAAAGCAGACTGCTGGAAACTAGGTAAGTGTCCCTAAACAACGATTCCAGGATGAACAGAGATACACACTAAATAAACATGGGTAATACGTGATTATGACTACCAAAATGTAATGAACTTTCAAAGAGGCTAACAGAGATCACCAGTTAATAAAGATCAAGTTATTTGCCTATGATACAAAGGTCCACCTGAATGATATTTCCAGATAATTTCTCACTAAAATGACCTAGGTATATATCAAAAGAAAATCTTATGGGTATATGCAGAAAGAAAATGTTACGGATAATACAGTTGCTGGCATCTTACTGTTGTCTTCCTAATCAACTGGTATGATAGATTTGATTTACTATTTACACATTGACAAATCTTACCTAATGAAATAGAAAAAGAAAGAAAATTGTAAACGTACCTGTAAGTCTGGATTGGCAGCTGCTTTTTGGAGTTCTGCACTGATTATCTTTTCAGTTTTTTCTCGAGCTGCCTGCTCCACCATACGCTGGCTCAACACAGACAGTTTGGCCAAGGCAGAAGACAGTTCATCTGTGGCTAGGGCCTGCCGTGCTCTATCCTGCCAGCTCATTGCACGTTCTGTCAAACACTGTAGGGCTTCACCTTCAGGCAACCGTACAGGCAACTTCTGAAGGGATACTAGGAGTGACAGAATAGTCTCTAGCCTTGGCCTCCGAGAGCGCATACAAAGAGGGCAAAGAAATTTTACTTCTTTAGCCTGCCAGCTAGAACCTTTTTTCTGGGAACATGACTTAGGCAGGGGAACACAGCTATTATGGAACCAGTCTTTGCAGAGCTCACACTGCAGCATAAACCCACTAGCTGTCTTGCGACAAATGCAAAATTTCACTTCTTCTATGCGGTCCACCATTGTCATTTTAGCTAAGTTGGCTGCTCTTAGGGAATGCATGGCTTCAATCTCTTTTTGCTCCCGTTCTTTGAAAACTGCCACCTGTACAAAACAAACATTTAATAGAAGGGGGTCACTGCAAAATACTCCAAATGTATCAAATCCTCAAGGCTAAGAGATCACCTCCAAGTTGGGGCCTCATTGTGACAAAGCATTTTCCTTTAAAAAAAAAAAAATCAGTTGTCAATCATTTCCTAAAATCTGAGGCAGCCCTGACAGTTTCCATGCAAATATTCCTTGTCTGTGAAATGGGCAAAGAGCTACCATATATGACAATTTTATCAGTATGGCACTTTGAATTCTTCCACAGGGTCAGTAAACAATATTCCTTGAAATCAAGCAACCTGAGCATGAAACAGGCTCTTGTACTCACATATTGTTGATTTGCACAAGTTTTCTGAATCTCCATTTTCTGAAAAATGAAGATACCACCAACCTCATTTTGTTATTTTAAGGATTAAATAAGATAACACATCAAAATGCCTAACTTGGTGTGTGGCACAGGGTAAACCCTCAATGAATACTAGTTCCCCATACTCTTTTAATTTATTTCTTAAGGGGAAGTTCTATACAAATCAATTTTTATTTCTTTCTAGAAGGCCTCTCTAACTTACATAGAAGTAGAATAGCACAGTATAATTGGCCTGGTGGCCAATTATAACAAGATTTTATGTAGCTCATTTCAAAAAAGTAAATAAAAGTAAACAAAATTTAATTATCATGAATATTGTCAGTGGACTTTTTTAAAAGTTTTCACAGCCCTGAAACAATTTTGGAATAATTTCCTATTCCATTAGTCTGGCAAGACTGACCTGTTAGGCAGGCTCTCTAATAAGAAATCATTTCGACTGGCCTCAAAACAGGATCATTTGCCAACAATATTGTAAAAACTATGTATGGTGCCAAATAAGTACCTGAAATATTGGGGAAACACTTTGTAGTTGATTGTCTAACCCACTATTCCGTATACCTGAAACTAATATAAGATAATGTTGAATTCAAACTGTAATTGGAAAATAAAATTTAAAAGACCCCAAAACCAAAAAACAGAATCATATATGTAGGCAGAATCACCCATACACAACTCCTTACTATTACATATTACCCAAACTCATTTTTATTTTCTATTTCCTCAGGCTCCTAGTAATCCTAACACATTCTTCCTATTCTCCAATAATAATAATAATAATAATAGTAATAATAATTAGCTACAAATATTTTATTGAGCATTCATTATACTACTGAATGCTACTAAGAGAAGGGAGATATTTTAAACAGCGGCTGGTATCAGTACGCTGATACAATTCCTTTGAAAAGCACATTAGTGTTAAGTGTCCCAAAATGTTAAATTCTAATCCAGTAATCCCATTACTAAGAGTCAAGTGAGGGAAAATAACTTGAGAAAGGAAAAGGCTACACAAAGAACTTCACTTTACCAGTATCCACAGTACTGAACACTTAATAACAACCAAATGTTCAGTATCAGAAAAATGTTCAGCACATTAACAACAATTTGACAGAATATTAGACATCTGTTAAAACAATAATAAAGCACATATAGAAAGTAATTTTAGAAAAAGAACAGAATACTAAATTTTTTGTATACTTTGATTATATATATTTTAAAAATGTGAAATATATATAACCATAAAGCCAAAGAAAGTATATAAAAATTTTAAAAGTTAAGAACATAAAAACAGTGAATGTGCTAATATCATCACAGAATTTTGTGTTCTCCATGCAAAGTTAAGATGCATATCATAGCTTCTTACCACCATGGCTGTATCTCTGGTTTCTTCCAATCCTTCCTCCAAATCAGTCAGAGGCTCAAGGTCAAGATCCTTTTCTTTTTCTTTTTCTATTAGTTCTTTTACTTTTTTCCTTCTGTTTTTACCACTCCCATATATACCAATGTCAGTTCGGGGACTTAGCACCTACAAAAATAAAACCAAATATTGAGCTCTGGTTAAAAAAAAAAATCTTAAAATTGAAAATACTAAAAGGAAGCATTTATTGACTACTCACCAAATCCTAGGCACTTTCTTAAGGACTTTATACACATTATCTAATTCAATTCTCATAACAACTCTCAGAAGTAGACAGTATCATCTGTATTTTACAAGGGAAACTGAGGCTCAGGAAGGAAACAACTTGCCCAAGGACACAGGATTAGTAATTAGGAAGCCAGTCTTCAAGCATAAAACTATCTTATTATGTTTAAATGCTCAAGATGAGTAGGGTAATGCATATTTAAATTTGTGCTTCTGAGAAATAAGATCTTTCAGCGACAGAGTCCATGAACAACAGAGACAAGATCCAGGCTGATTGCTTTTTCTGGACACAGTACAGGATGATCCAGAAACACGTCTGCAACAGGCTCCAAATTTCTGGTCAACATTTAAGATTTTATTTATTTATTTTTCGAGAGAGCAGAAGGGAGAGAGAATGAGAGGGCGGGAAACATCAATGAGGGAGAAACATCCATTGGTTGCCTCTCATACATGCCTCCCATGGGAACAAAACCGGCAACCCAGGCATGTGCCCTAATGGGGAATCAAACCAGTGACCTCTAGCTTTGCGGGATGATGCCCAACCTAGCCACACCAGTATGAGCTCTGGCCAACATCTGATGTTACCTAACAGGAATCCCTTGTATAACCGTAACCAGATAAAATGAAAACAATCCTCATCAACAATACTACCTATAAGTGTTAAGTTATCAACTTCTGATGAGGGTGTCAAAGTATATATACATAAACTACTCTTTACCTGTAGCAATGTATGGCTAGAATTCTTCTTAAGAAAGGTCCGCCCAGTCCGTTCTCTCCATGCCCGTGCTGCGGCTACCTGTGATTCTACTTGGGGCAATGCATCAAGACGCACAGGAATAGGGCGCCCTTTAGCAGATAGGCTCTCCAGCTGCTCCAAGTAAGCATAGTTGCTGCCACTCTGAAAAACAAAAGTACATTATCACACAATTCGTATTCACTTATGAAATCTGGCAATATGTTGTCAGACCTTACAAAGAGTTTAGAGTGATTTTTTAAAATTAAATATTATTCTTTAAACTTAATTATATCTCTTGAATTAATAGAGCTACCAATGTTCTTTTTAAAAAGTTTGTGAGAGGCCTTGACCAGGTAGCTCAGTCGGTTAGTGTCACCCTGTCAAGGTTGCAGGTTCAATCCCTGGTCAGGACACATACAAAAATCAACCAATGAATGCACAAGTAGGTAGAACAACAAATCACTGTTTCTCTTTCTCTCTCTCATTCCTCCACCTCTCCTCTCTAAAAATAAAATCAATAAACTGTATCTTTTTAAAAAGTGTGCAAATACAATATACAGCTGTATAGAACTGTATACACTTCAAAATAATGCATTAACCAGTGTCACCCCAATTAATTTAAAAATTTTGTGTAAATTCATGTTGTCCAAGATTTTAATTTTATTAATTAATGAGGGAACAAGTAAGATGTACAAACCAGTTCAAAGGACAATTAAAGAACAGACATATATATGTTTAGAAATCAGGAAACAAATTTGTTAATGGATGGAAACATATATTTAATATCATACAGGACAAGGGACAGTGTAAAGAATAGGTGTATAACTTCTGGTCAAGCCGGACGCATAGGCAGACATGTCTCCCCTCCTTGCATGACCATATGAATTTACAACTAACCTCAAATCAAAAAAAAAAAAAAAAGTCCAGAACTGCCAGAAAACTGAACTGTATGGAAGTCCAACAACCAAAGATTTAAAGAAGACATATTCATCCAGATGGGTACAAGGGGCAGAGCTGGGGAGCCAGGGTGGAGAGGATGTGATTCGGCAGTAGCAACTAGGAGGTAGTGGTGACAGCCGACAGAACGAGCAATCCCGCAAGATACCTGGGGAGTGGCCCAGGCCAGACCGCACTGCCAAGGGTTCCAGCAGCAGGAAAATAAAGCCTTCTAACTCCTGGCTGTAAAAACCAGTGGCAGTTGGGGAGGCAGAAAGAACTGCTGGTCTCTCAGGAGAGTCCATTTAAAGGGACCCCAGCATCCTTGAACAGACACAAACCCATCCACTCTGGGAATGACCACCAAGGCAACAGCCAGAGGGTGCTAGTCGCAAAAGTGACTGGAAGCAGGGTGAGCACCGAACAAGCCTCTTCCAGACAGGCAGTGGCATTGGCCCCTCTCTGACTCCTTCCCCTACATAAGATGCCACAAGTGGTGAAGCAGACTGCCCCACACTGGCCTTTATTTACCTAAGGCTCCACCCCATACAACGTAATACATGCTAATAGGTGCTCCAAGACAGGGAGTCAAAGCAGCTCTATCTAATACACAGAAACAAACACAGGGAGGCTGCAAAATTCAGGAAACAAAGAAATACGGCTCAAATGAAAGAATAGAACAAAACCACAGTAAAAGAACTAAGCAAAACAGAGATAGCCAACCTATCAGATGCATAGTTTAAAACACTGGTGATAAGGATGCTTAGAAATCTCACTGAGTACGGCAAAAGCATAAGGGAAGAAATGAAGGCTACACTAAGTAAAATAAAGAAAAATCCACAGGGAACCAATAGTGAAGGGAAGGAAGGTGGGGTTCAAATCAATGAATTGAAACATAAGGAAGAAATAAACAGTCAACCAGAAGAGAAGAAACAAGACCTTAAAAAAAAAAAAAAAAAGTAGATTTACATATTGATTTTTAACTCACCTGATTATTCTTTGTATAGTGTGTGAAAAAGAGCTCTACATTTATTTTATTCCAAGTAATAGTGGTCCATGTACCTTATTTGTTGAATAAGCCTTATTTTCCCCAAGGATTTGAAATATCAACTTAATCATATATTACACTGTTAGATACATATGTTTGTTTCTAGAATGCTCATTTTATTTCATTGAGCAACTTGATTATTTCTGTGCTGGTGTCATGTTGTTTTAATTGCTGAGACTTTATAATGGATTTAAATATTTTATTATTTTATAATGGATTTTGACATTTAAAAAATTAAATAAATAAAACCGGCATTTAAAAAAAAAGAAAGAAGGGAGGAACTTCTACCGTTTATGACAACTTGGATGGAAATGGAGAATTACTATGCTAAGTGAAATAAGCCAGTCGGTGAGACAAATACCATATGATCTCACCTATAAGTGGAATCTATTCAACAAAATAAACTAATGAACAAAATAAACCACAGGCATGGAAACATGGAGCAGATTGAAAGTGACCAGAGGGGATGGGGAGGGAGGACAATGGTGGAAAGAAGGGAAAGGGACTAGACAAAGAATATGTATGAATGACCCATGGACATGGACAACAGACTGGGAACTGACTGTGGGAGAGGGGGGCGGGGTGGGATGGGCGGAGGAGGACAAAGGGGGGAAAACTGAGACAACTATAATAGAATAAACATGATTTAAAAATTAAAAATTAATTTAAAAAAAGCCACAAGGAGACTAAGAAGACTCTGGGACATCTCCACATGTGCCAACACCTGATTCATAGGAATGCCAGAAGGAGAAAAGGAAAAGCAAGAAATTGAAAATTTATTTGAAAAAATAACAAAAGAAAACTTCCCTAATTTGGCGAAGGCAATAGATGTATATGTAAGTCCAGAAAGCACAAAGTGTCCCAAACACGTTGGACCCAAAGAGGACCATACCAAGACACATAATAATTAAATGCCAAAGGTTAAAGATAAAGAGAGAATCTTAAGAGTAGCAAGAGAAAGGCAGAGAATAACTTACAAAGGAGTTCCCATAAGACTATCAGCTGATTTCTCGAAAGAAACTTTGCAGGCAATATGGGACTAGCAAGAAGTATTCAAAGTGATTAAAAGCAAGGACCTACACAACCTAGACTACTCTATCCAACAAAGCTATTATTTAGAATGGAAGGGCAGATAAAGTGCTTCCCGGACAAGGTAAAGTGAAAGAAATTCATCATCGCCAAGCCATTATTACATGAAATGTTAAAGGGACTTATTTAAGAAAAAAAAGATCAAAACTAGGAACACTGGAATGAGAACAAACTCACAGCTATCAACAATTGAACCAAAAAACAAAAGCAAAAACAAAAACAAACTGAGCGAACAACCAGAACAGAAACAGATTCACAGATAAGGAGACCATCTGGAGGGTTACCAGCAGCAGGGAAGGGGAAGGAGAATATGGGGAAAGGTACAGGGATTAAGAAGCATAATTTGTAGGTACAAAACAGGCAGGTGGATGTTAAGAACAGTACAGGAAATAGAGAAGCCAACGAACTTATATACACAGCCCATGGACATGAACTAAGGCGGAGGTGCGGCATTACTTGACAGAAGAGGGGTACCAGGTGGAGGAGGGCAAAGGGGGAAAAATTGGGACAACTGTAATAGCATAATCAATAAAATATACTTTAAAAAAAGAATAGGCATATATATGCTAACAAATGAGGAAACAAATTTGCTAATGGATGGAAACAGATATTAATATCATACAGGACAGTGGAGGTATCTTTTCTACAATTGGAATTCAACTGTTCCACAACCAAATGCAAATTTAATTACTTTTCTATGAACGTAATTCAGTTGTATCACTATCATTTTTAAATAATTGACAAAGTTGTTAAATAGCTTTGTCAAAGAAAATCTAAAGCATACAGTCCTAGAATCAGATATTCTTGGAGAGTCCACCAGACAATATCCATTATTCCACTGAAAAGACATCCAGTAAACTTTTTTGCCTGTTTCAAAGTCTTCCACAGTTTTTCCAACCACCAAAAAACAATGTTCTTTAGTTCTGATGATCACCTCCACTGTATGTTACATAAACACAGGTGAGAATGAGTATTTTCCTTCTAAGTCATAATGTTTCAATATTTTCATGTAATGAAGTCATTATTTTCAGAACTTACATACTGCTTTAAATTCACTAAATGACTAAATCATTACAGCAGGTGAGAGGGTTAACAAGTAATCCATTCCAGGGTCTTGGCAAGAACACCTGAACTGGGTTGGCAGCCTGCAGCCATTAATTCAAAGTGATATTTTAGGATTAATCTCCTAGCAAACACACTTGCATTCCTGTAAGAAACTATAAATGTCCCCGTAACATTCATTGTTATTCAGAGGCTATAAAGGCATAGTATCAAATATTAAATATTGACATTGCATTAAAAGGTTATTTTCCATGTATTAACTGACTCATTTTCCTACAAGTTCATTTTGAAAGTTATACTGAAATATGTGGAAAAATAAACAGGTAAGAAACTTTTAAATAAGTAGTAAGATTCTAGCCCTAAGATATTATAATGGTATAATTAAATCACTATGGTGTTAGAATAGGATAAGAACAGAAATCTAACTGAAAGAGAAAAGAAAGCTCAGACACAGACAGGGTCAAAAAATACTGTTATTTACTACTAATCCCTCTTGTACCCAACTACAGCCATTTGACTACAGAATGTCTTCCAGCTAAACCTAGAGAGAGCCTGCCCTCAAGCTATGTATCCTAAGGAAGAGTTTGCCTTTGAACAGTAGCTGTCCACTTAAAGCCTACAAATCAGTCCTGCCAACAGGAAGGCCTTGGTGGAGGAAAAATCCTTCAATTAGAGGAAACACAAGACAGCTACCTATACTTGCCAACTAAGTCCTTCAATCATAAATAAATAGCCAACTAAGGATTATGAGACATTTGAGGACAATCAATTGCCTGAAATAAGTCAAAGATGAAACAGAGGATCTGTCCTGATTAAAAGGAAAAAAAAAAAGATAATTTTATCAATTAAAAAAAGCATAGAAAGAAAGGCAGCTAAGCAGGTCCCAGAAAAAAGTCAACTGAAAATTAAGTAAAAAAGAAGTTATTAGAACTTGACTCTTAGAATATGTTCTTTCTTGGTGCAGCAATTTTCAGTGGAAGAAAGTGGATTTTCTTTTTCTTTTCTTTTTTCTTTTTTTAAGTATACCTCTATAGTAAAGAGCATTTGTATCCTGAGCACTGTAACTGCTGCTAATGGCTTTTAGGATTCAGAAGAAATATTATGTAGGTAAGCATACTTTTATCTCTATCTAGCACTGATTTCATTTTGTCATATTTTACAGCAGGGAATCAATAGAAATAGTAATGTTTAAATAGGTAATTATTTTGAAATATAAAATCCGATGGAAGAATAAGTGAATTTTAATTACTATAATTATTTTATTATGGTTACTCTATTCTAAAAAATTAAAAGCTTAAATGATTCATCTATGAAAAAGCATTATCTGAATAAGGGAATTGGAAAGGCTCCTTACCTGAATAGCTTCCACTTTAGCTGTCCATTCTCGAGCCTTTTGTAAGGCTTCTTTCAGGGATAGCACATTGGGTAGAAAGGCTGGAATGTTCTTAGCTTCATTCACAATGCTTTCTAAACTTGCCACGCTGTGTCGTGGTCTAAAAGACACACAAATAAGACAGATACATGAGGAAAAATCAAACTGCTAAAATGTGCAGAGAATTTTCATACACATGATTTCACTTAATTCTTACCACAATCCTGTAAGGGAGGCAAAACAGCCATTATCTTTATTTCCATTTTACAGGTAACTTTAAAATCAATAATTTTCCCCAAAGTCACTTAGTGCAGTAAATGGTACACCTGAAATACTGATGTCTCAGATCCCATGCTCTTTTCACTACACTAAACTGCCTCTACAAGAGTTCTCCACAATATCTGAAATTGTCAGAGATGCATATTAGATAGCAATATAGAAAGCAATAGCCTAGAAATCCATTAACGTTGACCATGTATATTTAATTCAAGTACAGTCATTAACACCTAGTTACACAGAGATGAATAAAACAGACCTTTATCCTCAATTAATCAGAATACAAGATAAGCATGTACTGGGAAGTAGGAGCAAATTACTACAGGAGGTAATGATTAATTCTGCCTAGGGAGACCAAGAAGGCCTTTGAGCTAGGCCTTAAAGATACATGATTTTGTTGAGTGAAAGGTTAAAAGAAAAAAACAGGAATACAATGGACAAAGAGAAATATACAAAAATGACTTGATAATCTAGTTAGATCAGGGATGGTATGAAGATTGGGGAAGGGGGTAAAAGTGTAAGCCCAAAGTAAAGGGATTTGGGAGGAAAGAAAGATGTAAACAAATTAAGAGGTCTTGTGAGTCCTGAATTTCACTATGTAAACAATGGGAAGCTACTTAGGATGGTAAAAGTTCTGTCACCATCCATGAATCCTACTACATGGTAGGCACTGTGCTAGGTCCCAGAGGTTATTAATGTGCAAGAGTAACCGCATCTTTGCCTTATAAAACTTTTTAATCTTGTGGAGGGGATTATTAATAAGGAGTTAGAAGCACTGTAAGTGTAATAATAGAGGAGAATAAAGATGTTATCAGGTTATATACTAGGAGGACCTAATTGACTTGGCAGGTGAAGGAAGGATCCCCAGAAATGACCTCTAAGTTTTCTTACCCTTTTTGAATAGAAGTCAGAAAAAGCTGGGGCCAGAGGGATGGCAGGGGTAGTGGAGGTGCACCACAGGGAATGAGCAGAGAGGAAAGCTGTTCCATAGGAAAACAAATGGCAAAGGTCCAGAGATAAGAATGGACATGGCATGTTTCAGGAACCGATGGTGGGGGCAGGTGCGATCACTATGTTAGAATGCAAGAGGAATAAATATCAAGGGATGAGGGGAGATATTTAGGCAAGGAGCTAGATAATAGCTGGCCTTATAAATCAGGTCAAGGAATCTGAACTTCATCCCAAGGGGAATGGTAAACAGTGAGGAGTTTTAAGCAAAGGGGTCAAAGTCATACCTGTATTTTAGGAAAATACCAGTTGCAGTGCAGAGAATGGATTAGAGAGAAGTAAGCTCAGAGAAGGGACCTGTTGCTATGATTCCAGATCAGCAATGACAGCAACAGACCCCCCACAGAAAAAGAATGAAAGTGAGAAACCAAGAAAATAGAATCAGCATGACTTGCTAGTTAACCGAGTTTGATGGAAAAGTAGAAAGCAGGGGTCAAAGTTAATTTCCAAAGTACTGGCTTGTTCAAATGAATGAAAGATAGTATAATTCAAAGAAAAAAGGAGTAAAGGAAGAAATTATGGAAAGGAATTAATAGGTTCAATTTTGGATACGGGAATTTGAGCGACATCCAATGGAATCATTTGATAGGCCGATGGTATCTATAGGGGGAAAAATCCATGTTATAGATGAATATTTAGAATGAAGAAGTATAAAGATGGCAAATGGAGCCAAGATTAGAAGAAATTACCAGGGAGATGTATGAAGTGGAAAAGGAGCAATTCAGGCGAGAATACTGAGGAAAGCCATTATTTAAGAGACAGAGAAAAAAGCCCAAAGGCAAAGGAGGATACCAAGAAAAAGATGGTCAGTAGTTAACCAGTATTAAAAGAGGAAGAATATTAAAAATATGTTTCAAAGCCATGGACAAAGCCAAAGTAGGGAAGGACTGAGGATGGGAGGTGGAGATGGGTGGGGCAGAGGAAAGTGGTGGTGGGAAAACGGAGACAAATGTATTTGAATGATAAAAATTTTTAAAAATTTTTTAAAAACCTAAAAAATGTGTTTCAGAAAGGTAACGCTGACAGGAGTTAGAAAAGAGAAGACTCTACTTTCCCTCATTCCCACCAACCCCTTCACTCCCTACTTCTTTACCTATTTTATTTTCTTCACAACACTAAGTATATAAAATTAATTTATTCCTTCACTATTCAACAGTCTCTCCCCTCTAGAATGTCAGCTCTATTTTAGAGCAGGGACTTTGTGTCTTTTTTTCCTACTATCTTCAAAGCACTTAACATTAGTGCCTAGCATGTAGTAGGTACTCTAGAAATACTGAATTGAGAAGGTGAAGGGAAAATATACAAGTACTATAACTAGGGCAGTGACAATGAAGTTGAAGAAGATAGATATGAAAGACATTCTGGAGGGAAAAAGAAAGTTTTCAAATTAAACATTACTACCAAGAAATTTCATTCATTAGACTGCAGTTGCATCAGATATACCAAATCATAGTTCTACATTCCAGTTATTTAGATTTTCCCACTTAATACTCTCCTTCCTCCTGGACATCTCATGAATCTGAAGGCACAGGGTAATCTGAATGTTTTGAATATGGAAAGCTATAAATAAATATAGTTTGAATACTCATAGCATCTGGAGAATAAAATATCCAATATACATGGAGCCTTTTTTGGCTAAGCAAAATTATGTTAATTAAATCATCTAAGACCTCCTTCCAAATTCATTCAAAATAACTGGCTGGTAAAGTAGTTAAGTAGATGGAGACTTTGAAATGTAGTGGAAAAGACTTTAAATTTGAGCTGTGATATTTAATAACTATGTGAACTCTCTGGTGTCCTCATCCTCACAATAGAAATTATATTAATTTTTATTAATATATAAATATTAATTTTAGCTGCTGAAAAGACTTTCATAGAGAACATTACAGTCAAATTAGTTGATACTGAGTCCAATATATTATACTTAAACCTCACAAGTACAATGGGGTGCTAATGCTAATCCAACTTCTTAATATTCTTATGCCTGATTCTTATCTCTCACTACTTTCCTGCCTAAATCTTCTACTCCAAAAAAGCCCATTTAACTTTTGTCACATGAACACTCCCTATATACCTTAAACTTAGCTCATGAAATTTCTCTTGCCTCCCCTTCCACTTCAATCCTACTCATTTTTCAAGGCTCTAAGTTCTTACATTTCTCTCAAGATTCTCTTCTGTCCATCCAGGCTAACAATGATCTCTCGCTTTTTGAATTCCTATGGCACTTTTCTGTACCCCTCAGTTAATAACATAACTGCGAAGAGCTTTATAGTTCTTAGCTCCTAAGTATAATATCAGTAATGGAAGGCTCTAAACAAAATACTATTTTGTAGCACGTAGAGTGCTAACAAAGTACTTTGTGCACAATATTTAAAACTGTCTATATGTAGATGATTGGTCAGAGAAGGCATAAAATATTCAATTAAATACTTAATGAAATAGCCTGGGCTGGTGTGGCTTAGTGGATTGAGTGCTGGCCTACAAACCAAAGGGTAGCAGGTTCAATTCCAGTTGCAAACCAGGTCCCCACTAGGGGACACACAAGAGGAAACCACACACTGATGTTTCTCTCCCTTTCTTTCTCTTTCCCTTCCCTTCTCTCTAAAAATAAATAAAATCTTTAAAAATATATACATATATTTAATGAAAAAGACCCTTATGTTCATCTTCCCATTCTACTATCTTACTTAGTTATTAAAAAGTCAACAGTCACCAATATATGTGTTCACCTTGCCTGTAGGCAGACCTTAGCCTTTTCTTCCCATCGCTCAGAGACTGTAAGGAGCTCCTGTAGTTCAGCCATTGCTTTCTCCACAGCATGGTGGGGAGCCAACCCCACCCCAGAGTCTATCAATTTCTTCATGACATCCAAAGTGACTTGCTGTGGGTCTGATAGAGTCAGTCTTACTTCATCCAACCATCGAGCCTGCTGTAGCTCTTGCTTTAGTCGGGCTAATTCAGGTAACTCCACATAGAGACTAGAGCCCATGTCTATCAACATCTGGAGTTTAGAAGAATCTGGTGTTTCATCCATCATGGCCTCTTGAGCACGTTCATGAAACTCTTCCACATCATCTAGCAGATTCTTAAAAAGTCAAAGGAATAAAAATAAATTTAAACAATAAAAAATGAGTGTGTAATAAACATATTTGATAGACCATAGAATAGACATAGTTTTTAAAAATATGTTTATTGATTTTAGAGAGAGAGGAAGGGGGAGAAAGAGAAAGATAGAGAGAGCAACATCACTGTGAGAGAGAAGCATTGATTGGTTATCTCCCTTACATGCCCTAAGGATCAAACTTGCAACCTAGTATGTATGTGCCCTGACTGGGAATCAAACCCCCAACCTTTTTGACAACTCTCCGACCGACTGAGCCACACTGACAAAAGCAAACAATTTTGATAGGCAAAATTATCAAATTCTAGACCATCTAATAATCTCACCATCATAGCACCAAACAGATATGAGATTTAAGGGCGTAAATATGCTTCTCTAGAATTACTTACATAGTCCTATTTTTAAAATATAAAAATATGTAATGACTTCTGACTTAGAGGAAGGCACTGTTCTAGGCACACAGCATTGAACAAAACATACAAAGTTCTTGTCTTCAAGAACATACATTTTGATATAAATGGCCAGTCACTGAATGTATGAATAAAATGTCAGAGTTTTTTAAAGTGCTATGAAAATAAAATAGGGCAACACAATAGAGAATGAACAGAAGGGCAGCACACTACTTTGCAATGATCAACTGAAAGATAGATGAACCAAAACAAAAATGAGAAGGTAAGTGTGGGAACCTTATGAAGAGCTGGGAATACAGCAGTTCAAACAGGGCAAACAGTATTGCCAAAGCTTTGAAACACAAATGAGGTTGGTATCTTTGCTCCAAAGTGGTTGATGGGGAGCAAAGTGGATGAAGAGCATGAAAGGGGACCCCAAAAAATGGAAAGTATTTGTTAAAAATTGTGTAAAAATTGAGGTCTTACATGTTTAAACCTCAGTCACCTTCAAAGTACTCTCCATTTGATGCAACGCACCTATCTAGAAGTTTTTTCTATTGCTCAAAATAGTTTTTGAACTCATCGATTTTGATGGCTTTTAGTGCTTCTGCTGTTTTTTGATTCACCTCTTCCACATTGGCAAAACATTTCCCTTTGATAACTTTTTTTATCCAGGTAAACAAAAAAAGGTGCTCAGGGCCAGATGGATGAGTAGGGAGGGTAGGGTATACGGGTCACACCATTTTTGGTCAAAAACTGCTGAACACAGTATGGTGTGGGCTGGTGCACTCGTAAATCACCCATCATTAAATGGGTAAACGCGTTGAAAGAGTCTTCAAAAGAAAAAAACTGGCCCTGGCTGGTGTGGTTCCGTGGACTGAGTGCCGGCCTGCAAACCAAAGGGTCGCTGGTTCGATTCCCAGTCAATACACATACCTGGGATGCAGGCCAGGTCCCTAGCAGGGGGCACACAAGAGACCACACATTGATGTTTCTTTCCCTTTCTTTCTCCCTCCCTTCCCCTCTCTAAAAATAAATAAATAAAATCTTTAAAAAAAAATTATTGAAGCTGAACACAGCCTCTCACAACACCAGCTGGTACACTGATACAGATGGGCTCCTAGAACACTCACCTAGTGGAAGAAGCCTGTACACCAATACAAGGAGCTTGCTCTGCAGAAGATCAATTCCATTTTTGGGGTGAGCCCCCCCTTGTAAATGTAACTGACAGAATTGACATTTTTATTGGTAGTGGGAGCAGAGAGCAAACCCCAGAGAGCCCTGAGCAGCCCCACCCACCACCAGCGTAGTTACTATCACCCCCTGGGAGAAGCTGCAGCTGCCACAGCCAGCCCCAGTCACAAGCACTGAAATTACGTACAGCGAGGCCGAGACCCAGCAGCTGCCTGCCGCACCCACCCTTAGCAATGCCAACACCAAATCTGGCACAAAAGGCAGAAGCGCAGGGCACGGTGGCCCAGGCAGCCTCATACCAGCAGTGCCTACTGGCAGGGACAAGAAGGTCATCCCACAGGTTTTGGGAACAGCAAAATGGTTCAATGCAAGAAATGGATATAGTTTCATCAACAGGAACGACACCAAGGAAGATGTATTTGTGTACCAAACTGCCATAAAAAAGAACAACCCCAGGAAGTACCTTTGCAATGTAGGAAAAGGAGGTACTGTAGAGTTTGTTGAAGGAGAAAAGGATGTGAAGACAGCAAATGTTACAGGCCATAGTGGAGTTCCAGTGCAAGGCAGTAAATGTGCAGCAGACCGCAATAGATACTATCCATATTGCAGGAGTCCTCCACGTAATTACCAGCAGAATTACCAGAATAGTGAGAGTGGGGGAAACAATGAGGGATGGGAGAGTGCTCCTGAAGGCCAAGCCCAACAGCGCTGGCCCTACTGCGGGCAACAGTTCCCACCTTACATCGGAGACCCTACAGGTGATGACCAGAGTATTCCAACCCTCCTGTTCATGAAGAAATGATTGAGGGTGTTGACAACCAAGGCAGAACAAGACAGACCAGTGAGACAGATTATGTGTCAAGTAGATAAACCACGATTTCACAGGGGCCCTCCTTACCAAAGAGAGCCTAGAGATAACAGCAATGCAAAAGATAAGGAAAATCAAGGAGTTGAGACTCAAGGTCAGCAACCACCTCAACACTGGTACTGTCACAACTTTAATTACTGACACAGACACCCAGGAAACCCTAAATCACAACATAGCAGAAAGGTAAAAGCAGCTAATCTACCAGCTGAGAATTCATCTTCTCCTTAGGGTGAGCAGGGCAAGCTGAGTAAATGCCAGCTTACCATTTCTACAATCATCCTATTTAGTCATCCAACAAGAAGAAATGAATATGAAATCCCAGCAATAAAAAATTAACAAAGGATTGGAGCTGAAGACCTAAAGTGCTTGCTTTTGCCCACTGACCAGATAAGTAGAACTATCCGCATTAACTATGCGGCACGGGGTTTTTATTATTTTTATCTAAAGACATGTCTTTGGTAATGTCAAACGCTTTTTGTGTGTTTTTAATATAAGGCTGATTTTTCTTCATACACTGTTTAAGGTTTTTAAATTGTTTTGTATCCGGTCAAGTTGAGATTTTTAAGAACCTCACTTTTAATCTGTAATAAAAGTTTACAACTTGATTTTTTCAAAAAAGTCAACAAACTGTAAGCACCAGTTAATAAAGATCTTAAATTAAAAAATGAAAAATAAAATAAAATAAAATAAAATATAGTTGAAGAATAAGCAGACGTCAGATGACATAGTGTCTGGTAGATTATAAGTTTCGATTTCATTCTAATAGCTTTAGGGAACTGTTGGAGGATTTTAACCATGGGGAAGTGATATAATTTGATTTATATTTTACATGATCACTGGCTACTAAATGAAAAATAAACTGCCAAGGACAAGAGTAGAAAGAAGACCAGTCAAGAGGCTGTTGTGGTAATCTAAATGACAGATTCTAGTGGTTTAGAGCATAGTTTAAGCAATAGAGTTCATGACAAATGGTTTGCTTTGGCATACATTTTGTAGATAACAGCATTTCTTTAGAGAATGGATGTGGAGTCTAAGAAACATAAAGGAATCAAGCATTTTGATTCATTAGAAGGCTTTTAAGATGCATTTTAGTTTGTAGAAAAGAAGAATGGCAGTTAGAGCTAGAGACTGGAACTTAAGAGGATACAGGCAATATTTATTTATTTATTTAATTTTTAAAGACATTGAGACAGATGTTCTTGAAGGTTCCCTCCAGGTTTGACATTCCTTGGTTCTAAATATTATTGGTGTATTCAGAAGTTGTATTGTTTCTCTTTTGCAGAACATAACATGTGGCACCAGCTGGGAGACAGGTGCTCTGAAGGGATGAGTCACACAGGGGAACTGAAAACCTAGATTAATGAATTCTTCAATTGTCTCCCATTTATCTCACTTCCATTAACCTCTGGGTCTGTTTATTGGGAGAAACCTGAGTGCTGGACTGAAGTAGGATGATTCCTGCCCAAGGCATCTGTCGTTTTCCCCGATGGGGGGGGGGGGAGCAGTGCTGGAGGTGAGGAGAATAGGGTGGGAGAGGGGAACAGAGGTCAGGGCTGGGCGATACCCATGCAGGAGCTCTCTGGAGCTGCCCCCTAGAAATGCTAAGTGGGATACCGAGTCCTCCTCTAAAGGTACCTTCCCACCTCCTCACTCCAGGTGTCAGGGTTCCTTAGGTGGTTCCAGAGCATCAAAAACTCCATCCCTGCTGTCCATTTGGCAGCCACTGGCCACAAGTGGTTATTTACATTTAAATATTAAAATTCAATAGAAATTGAGTTCCTCAGTAAAACTAGCACATTTCAGGTGCTCAGTAGCTGCATGTGGCTACTGGCTACAATATTGAGCAGCTCCATAGAGAGCATTTCCATCATCACATTGGAATGTAGGGAGAACTGCTTAGGACACACAAAATGAAACTAAAGTCTCCTTGCCATCTGAAAGACCAGAGATACTGGCAACAAGATAATTACCTGGATACAGGTAATATTTAATGTCACTAAACAAATAAGAAAATATCAGGACCATGAAAAAGAACGGCTGAGTCTCCGAATATACTCCACAATTAGAAGTCAAGCCAAGTCATGGTCCTTGGGCCTGGGTTTGTGGACTGCAGCAGTTATGGCCAACCATGCTCTCCAACGGCACCAAGATGCCCATCGTAGATATGGGCACCTGGAAGTCCTCTCTGAGCAAAGTGATGGAGGCAATGATGGTGGCAATTGACCCTGGGTACCACCACACTGACTGTGCCCACATGGTCCAGAACAAGAATGAGGTTGGGGTGGCCATCCAAGAAAAGCTTAAGGAGCAGGTGCTAAAGCGAGAAGACCTCTTCACCATTAGCAAGTTGTGGTCCACGTACCATGAGAAAAACCTGGTGAAAGGAGCCTACCAGAAGATGCTCACAGACCTAAAACTGGACTATCTCTACTATATAAATAGGATTATATATTCACTAAACCATCAGGGCTCTGATAATGTCAGAGCTCTGCATTTTTAAAAGCTCATGAACTAATGACTCACTGGTACACTAAAATTCTTTTAACTAATTTCTTGCATTTCTATTATGTCTAAATTAAATGGGGCTTCTGACCCAAAATGAATATAGAAAAATAATTCTAAACTAGCCTTAATTTGAGGATTTTAAAGGTGAAATTACATGCTAAAAATGAAACAGAGATTCTTACTGCCTACTAAAAAATGTTACATAAAAGCACTTACGTAAGAAAAGAAACAAGCAGAACAAAAACGAGTCTAGACACACTATTCTGTTTACCTCAAATTGTAGCCCATACAAAAAAGGATATTACCCAATTAAAAACTGTAATACTTTACCTTTACTTGTCGAGCTTGACTGATGACACATGGAAGACTAAAAAGTTGTTGAACAAAGGCCTTCAATTCTTCCACTGTCAGTTTGGTCCTAGTCCTCCCACAGTCAGGGCTCTGCCTGATGTAAAATAGTATTGAGATGTAAGTAAGAAAAATTCACAGTCACTCCGGTATTACAGGGGCTTCTAATCTCTTTATAATTCTCACCCAAGTAATCCCGGAATACTAGTGTTGGATGATTTGCATTTACAATGGTGATCACTTCCAAATTAGGGTTTTAGCTCTGTAGTTCATGACTTAAAGATCCAACTCCCCAAGTTATAGTTTCTGCAATCTCGCAAGTATTAAATATTTTAAATAAGCAATAAATTCCTCACAGTAAAATATTAAGCACACTAATAAAACAGAATCCTCTATATCTCATGAAGATTAAGATGAAGAACATGGGCATTTAACTTGGCTTAGGAAACACTTAACTCTCTGAAACAGATTCAAAATTTTGTTTGTATGTATTTTTCTTTTAAAAAGGGTCCCTAAGCGCTGGCTGGTGTGGCTCATTGGATTAAGCGCTAGCCTGTGAATCAAAGGGTTACCAGTTCGATTCCCAGTCAGGGCATATGCCTGGGTTGTGGGCCAGGTCCTCAGTATGAGGTGCTTTAGCAACCCAGGTCCTCAGCCAGGGCACACAAGAGGCAGCCACACATTATTGTGTCTTTCCTTCTCTTTCTCCCTCCCTCCCCCTCTGTCTAAAAGTAAGTAAGTAAGTAAGTAAATAAATAAATAAATAAGGGTCCCTAAGCTTTCCCCAGATTTCCCAAGGGCATCAGTGACCCAATGACAGGTGAAGCTTTGCTAATCAATGTCTCTAAGAAATGTTTCCTGGTAAAATGGTAGATAAAAAAAAATGCACAATTACCAATGTGAATTGCTATAGAAAAAGCCATTCAGATATAGAGAATGTGTTGGAATGAATATGAAACAACACTATAGAAAACGTTAACACATATGAATTACATTAAATCAAGAACACATTCTTCTGTGCTCCTTGACAGCTTCCCCTGCATTCATCAAGGTTATTCCTTGCTGCCACCCCTCCTTCAGCCTATAGTATTATATATTTATTTACAAATATTTATTGTACACCTACTATGCGTCAGGCATTGTTCTAAGCACAAGAAATATAGCAATGAAAAAAATACCTGGCATTCTGGTCTAGCATACATTCTAGTGGGACAGGGAAAGAAGTGAGATAGACAATAAATAAAATAAGTACATTAGTATATCAGGAGTTGACAGGGCTTAAAAAAAAATAATAGTAAGAGAGTTGCAATTGTTTAAAGGGCTGTCAGTGAAGGCCTCCACAAGAATGTGACATCTGCATAAAACTTGAGAGAAGCGAGAGGACAAGACACTTGGATATCAGGGGAAGAGAACTCCAAGCATAGTGAATAGCAGTGTGAAGGCCCTAAGCAGGAACACTTCAGGCGTTTGTGAACAATAAAAGGAAGAGGGATGCAGAGTGAAGCAACAAAAAAGGAAATAGTAGGAGATAAGATTAGGACATTATTAGAGGAGGCAGGGACCTGGATACAAGAAGTAAAAGATGATACAGAGCCTCAAAGGCAAGTTAAAATAGAAAAAAATAAAAGAAAAGGAAATCATTAAAGAATTCAACACATCTTAGTCTTACCTGTGTTTCTGCTTTTTGCTCAAAAGCAGTTGAGCCACAGAAGCACAGGTCTCAGCTTCTTTTACAGCATCCCTGAGTTTTCTAAAGAGATCATTCTCTGGGTATTTCCTATCCTCTGCATCTTCCAGCATTACTCGTAATTCAATCAAATCTGTGAAAATAAATAAAAAGTGCCCTGACTGGTGTGGCTCAGTGGGTTGGGAGTCATCCCACAAACTGAAAAGTCACTGGTTTGATTCTGGGTCAGGGCACATGCCTGGGTTGTGGGCTAGGTCCCCAAGTGGGGACCTACCAGAGGCAACTGATCAATGTTTCTCTCTCACATTGGTATTTCTCTCTTTCTCCCTCCCTAAAAATAAATAAATAAAATCTTAATAAATAAATAAATTGCCATATACTATGACCAGAGGCAAAAAATCATTGAAAAATTTTCACTAACCTCCCTCAAGTCAGTCATCAACCCATTAGCAAAAAATACTGCAACTGTGAAAAGAACCTCACCAATGCAATAAAAGTTTACTCCTAATTCTTACAGACAATGCCTCTCAGTTAAGGCAATTGTTCCTTCTTAATAAGCCTTTAATATTAGTCCATGGGTAAAATTAGCTCCCCCAAATTTCTATCTACTACAAGTTAGTTATCTGTCTCATTTCATATCAACATTTTCACTTAAAAAAAGGATTCTCAAATAGAAAATTAAGACTATAATCAACCAACCCATTAATCTCAAATCTCATATGAAGCCTGAGATTTTTGCTTAATGGAGGAAAAACACATAAAACAAGGCCTCTTTCAAAGTCACAACAATTTCAGCATATGCATACAAAAGAAGGAAACTTAACCTTTCTTGTGGTTGAAGTTGGCAGATAATGCTTCTGTAACGCGACTGACCCAAGTGTCATAGGACTGTGCCCTGACTTTCACACCATAGAGCAGAGAAGGGAGGTCCTCTAATGGGTAGCGGTATCTAAGAACAAAACAACATGGAAATAAAAACTTCAAAAACCAACAACTTGAAAGTGAATTAACTTTTAAGGGCAATCAGCTTAAGGAAAGTACAATGGTGAGAGAAATAGGTCTTGGTACACATAAAGAGAAAAATCAAAGAAGCTCATGGCTGCAACACAGGGAGAGATAAGGAACATGTGAAATCAACTGACAAAAGAAACTGATTTTACTTGCCAAGTTTAGGGTCAACTTTACAGTACTGGTCCTCCAGCAGGGAGGCAGATTAGACAAGAAGTTACCAGCCCAGACACAGGGAAAGGAATTACAAAGAGCAACATTAGCACTTGGTTTTAAAAGAAGATAATGGCAGTTTTACAAGAAACTTCAGGATGGATACCTAAGACACTTCTTCTGCATTGGGCAGGGGCACAGATCATTTGGATGGTAGAGACACACAAGTCGTTCAGGATTACAGGAACACGTGAGAGCAGAAAGAAAACATGTGGTTCTGCAGGCTGAACACTGTCGTTCATCATCAGGAACAAGTTCAAATACTTCTTCTTCTGACATCAGGACACCCTGAAATACAATTTATGTCATTAGATCAAGTCCTTCTAGTCTTTCAAGAATCAAAGAACTTACTTATTAAGTTTTTCTCTATAGGTAATCTCTGACTCAAGATATAAACACAGAAAGTACAATGGCGCTTCATCAAAATACTTTCTAAAATTAATCATTAGTATTTATTTTAAATGGGCAAAACTAAACCTTGATATCTAGGAATGCACAATTGACTAATAAAACTATTTTTAAAATATAAGGACGTTATTACTACAAAGGTCAAAACAGTCAGGTAAATTGTATTTGGAAGAGATTTGGGATTAACTGACAAAGTTCTATTTCATGACCAGAATTGTGATGATAACAAAGTTTACCATACAATAATTCATAAAGCCAAATTTGTTTTGTGTGCTTTTCATCTTCCCTTTAAAACAAGAAAAAAAATTGTCCCCAGGGACAATACACCTTTGAACCAGATCCATTAGTAACCTATGATCTAAAAATGACATTGATATGTACAAACATATGTGAAGATAAAGAAGTATAAAATAAACTATGCAAGCCACAATATAAACTACTTAGGTAATATATCAAAAAAGTTAATCAGCATGCCCATTTAAGAAAATAAGAACATCTGAAGTGGTATTTTACAAAGATTCCGTCTAACATACAAGGGCTCCCTTTACGGTTTCTACTTACATGAACAAAGCACTTATAAACCTAATTCCATGTTGAGAGCAAACTTTTTTCACTTAAGGTGGGAACCTGATCATTTATTCACTGGCAGGCACAATCCAGTTCTTTCAACATATAATTTGTTTTGATATTGATTTAATCTCACTATATTCTCTTATCTTTCTGCTCTCTCATATTAGCATTTAATATTTTCATTAGAAATTATTTTTATGCAAAAACGATCCCAAAATCCATTGTAGGTATCTCTTAGATTATAAGAATTTACACAGCTAGAGAACATCTGGCAAATAGGGGATGCTAATGCATCAACCAACAATGTCCTGACTGCTTCAAGAAATTTTACTTTCTAAAGTGTTCCCAGGGACCACTAGCTCTAGAAGACATTATGCAAAAAAAAAAAAAAAAAAGAAGAAGAAGAAAAAAATTCTTCTGGGGGAAATGTTATGTATTATATCTCTCCTAACTTAGAGATTAGCAATGAAAACCAGCATATTAAAACAACAAAAATTTTACAGTAAAAAAGTCTCATTTATTTTCTTAACTCACCATTTCCCAAACTTTATCACAGAGCAAATTTTCCTTATTCCTTCTAACATATTATTTAGCTTATATTATTGAGAACACACTTTGGAAAAAACATACATTATCAGGAGGGAGAAGAGGAAAAAAAGTCAGATACTAATTAAAAAGCTATTTGAAATTATCTAGGTGAGGAAAATTAAGGAATGGAACAGAATAGTAGCAACAAAGAAAGAGAGGGGAGAGGAGAAAGGAGAGAGTGATGAGAGACAGTGCCCGCCCCCCAAAAAAGCTTAAAACCAGATAACAGGTAACTATGAAGGAGATGGATGATTCAAGAACCACATTAAGTTTTTATGTAACAATCTTGGCACTTACTAATATAGGCAATTAGAAAAGGAAAGTGGTTTGTAAAAGGGTTGAGGGAAAGGAGATGATACTGTACTTTAGATGATGAGATTTTGACAAAAATCCAAATAGAAATGTACAGTAATCACATAGAGACACATTATATATGGGTGACTGGACATATCACCTCTTTCAAAATGACAATTCCTGTGTTTGCATAAAATAGAAGGAAACATCAAGAGGTAAGAAATAAAACCACAAGACAGTAGCTGAAAGAAAGTTAAAATCCTAAGAAAAGCTAAGAATTCCTTGAAAAGAAAAACAAAAGTTCAAAGGCTGATCCCTACAAACACTGGCAGTTGAGGAAGATAAAGAAAATAATAACTAAAAGTGATTTTCAAGAGTTATCAGGAGGCTGAAGAAACAGTAGAGTTAAAGAAACCAAAGAAGCACTATATAGTACAATAAAAAGGTCATGGGGCTAAAAGACAAACAACTGAACTTGGCAATGAAGTTCTCACTATCAAGCTTAGAGAGGTTTAGTATGACAGTAATGATGAAGGGATAAAGAGGAAATGAGGGCACTGTCAACAGAAAACCACTGAATAAGTGTTTTTAAAAGAGATGAAATGAAAACTTTCTCAAGATAGGAAAGACTAGTGCATAATGCATAGAAAGATTAAAGAGAAGTATCTGGAAACAAGGGCACAAGAAGGTAAGTTTAAAGAGTAAGAGTCCGTAGAGAAACTTGATCATAGTATCATAAATAAGATAAACAAGATATGTGACATTCAAATTATTAAAAAAAAATCTCCCGTTAATGACACGTTAAATTTGAAATATTAGACAATACCACAGAAACTTACCAATGTACTTAAATTAAAGAAAGACAATGGAAAAAGAAATCCACTTTAAATAAATGTATATAAATGAATAATCTAAGTTTCAACTTTAGGAAACTTGGAAAAAGAAGAAATTAAACCCAAAGTAAAAAGAAAAATAATAATTAGAGCAGCAAAAATCAATGAAACTGCAAACAGGAACTCAACAGAGAAAAATCAATGAAACCACAAAGCCGGTTATATGAAAAAATTCAATAAAACTGATAAGCCTCTATCCAGGCTAACCAACAAAAACAGAAAAAGGACAAAAATTACTAAGAACAGAAATGAAAAAGGTGATATCACTACAAATGCTATAGATTTTAAATGGATAATAAAGGAATACTATATACTCTATGACTACAAATTTTATAACCTCTCTTTTTCCCTTCCTCCCCCTCTCTAAAAATAAATAAATAAAATCTTAAAAGAATTTTTCTTTATTTTTTGTTTTTTTACATTACCTTTTAGTCCCCTTATACCCATCTTTTTTGGGTAGAGCACTTCCCTCCTTACATCATCAGCCTTGGGGAAAGCTATAGCCCCACACTCTGGACTCCCTCTCACCCTACCCTGCACAGCTCATGCCCTGCTGAAAAGTGGGTCAGAGTGTAGAGGTATGAGCATACTCAGGTGGTGTCAGTCATTAAGTGGTGTAGCTTTGGGGTGGGGGTAATTTCCCCTAACTTTCCTGTGAAACTGACTTGGCGCCTTCTCCTCATGGAAGATCCCATAGCCTCATCTTCTGGGCTCCACGTGGCCCCACCCTGCTGAGGCCTAGCCAGAATCCAGGACAGACTGAGTGGTATGGCTCTGAGGCAGGAGCCATTCCCTTCCCCTTCCCGCAAGGCCAACCTGTGCTCCACTCTGCCCCCTAACACTAGATTTTGGATCGGCTAGCTCCAGAATCCCAGAATCCCAACTCCTGGCAGCACATGCTGGTTAGCTCTGGAACCCAACAGAACGGACGGGGCCATCTTTTCCTTGCATGCCAGACCAGAACAGAACCCTCCCTTCACAGGACCAAATCCTGGTCTGTTTGGGCCTGACAAACTCTGGTGGCCTCATCCCAACAATTTCCTGAGACTCCAGCCCACCAAAAATGGTCTGTGGGCACCCTGCAGGTCGCAGCTAGATTTGGTATACACTGGGACTTTTGCTGAGTGGCCTTAGACCCAGCACTGGCATCAAGTTTGAACCTGTATCAATTTAGTGAACACCACTAGCCACTACCTGGTGACTTATTGAGAACCTTCCTCATTCAACTCAAGTACCACCAGACACTCCTTCAGTGACTGAGTCTCACAGGCAGCCAGAAGGCAGAGACAGATCTCAGATTGCCTCGGGCCTTTGGCTGACCTGCCTCCAGACACGGTGCTGGTAGAAGCAGGCCTTGGAGCACAACTTGGATTTTTCCATGCACACCCAAGAGCAGGAGAGGCAGCCACAAACTATGAAAAGCTGTATAACTCCAAACACATTCCCTAGAGCTAATCACAGGCAATGCCTAACATTGATCGGAACTAGAGGCCCTCCCAAGAAGCCCCAGAAACAACACATGGCAGTGACCACCTTCAGACAGCATTAGAGCAGGATCCAGTTAGCTTCACAAGCTGCATATCCAAAGGGAGATTTTGGCAGGCACCAGACCTAGATGAGGTGAACTCCACTTAGTGTGGTCAGCACCTACACTGCAGCTCATACACTGTGATTGATATCAATCCTCAGAGTCAGCCAGACTGAGAGTCAAATCCACATATGAATGGGCCAAAAGCAATCAAGACTTAATTACAAAAATGGGGGACATGTATAATAGTGTCTACAATAAAATAAAAAGAAAATAAAAAGAATTATAACAGGAAGGGCTCTCATTACCCACACAAGGGCCATTTCCTAGAGCCCCTAGCTCAGGTGGTAAAGGAGGGTGCCCCATGAAATCCCACAGGACACCTACTACATACAGCCACCCTACCAAGACTGGAAGACATGGCAGATTTACCTAATACAGTGTACCTAAGTACTTGCTACTTTGTTCCAGAACTTATGACAAGTGCTGAAAATGATGAGTGCTGAGCAAACACTGAGTATGAAGCATTTTCTCTTGCAGGGCGGCATCACAATTCATACAAGTTCTAGCAAGTGCAACGAGTCCCAAGCAAGGGCCGAGTGCTGAAACATTTTTTTCTTGTAAAATGCAACGAGTACAAGGTTTGACAAGTTCTGAAACCTAAGAGTATAAAGGTATGAGTGTATATAGAAACAAACACAAAGAGGGAGCCAAAATGGAGAGATAAAGAAATATGTCCCAATTGAAAGAACAGGAGAAATCTCCAGAAAAGGAACTAAATTAAGTTCTTTTGGAGCTAAATGGATGCCAGCAATTTACCAGATATAGAAAATGGCTATAAAGATGCTCAAGGAACTCAGTGAGAACTACAAGGAACTTAGTGAGAACTACAACAGCATACAAAAGCACTTATAAACCATAAAAAATAAGCAGTCCTAAATGAAGAACTACAAGGAATAAATATTAACTTGGATGAAGCAAAGGATCAAATCAGAGATCTGGAAGAC